AGATTGGGGAAGGTGCCTTTCGAGGTTGCAGCTCATTGGCAAGCATAAAGATTCCCAACTCCGTGACTCAGATTCGGGAAGGTGCCTTTCGAGGTTGCAGCTCATTGGCAAGCATGACCATTCCCAACTCCGTATCTGAGATTGGAGATTTTGCTTTTGAAGATTGTGACTCGTTGGCAAGCCTCACCGTTCCCAACTCCGTGACTGAGATTGGGGAAGGTGCCTTTCGAGGTTGCAGCTCATTGGCAAGCATGACTATTCGCAACTCCGCGACTACAATTAGAGAACGTGCCTTTGAAGGCTGCAGCTCATTGGCACCATTCCCAACTCCGTGACCCAGATTGGACTATGTGCCTGCCACGGATACGTTTGCTACTGATGACGCCCTGCAGCTGTTGCAACAAGTAAACGCGGTATTCTCTTGCAACTGACCATAGTTTGTGTTTTGTTTCGCATATAGTTGATCAATTGTCCCTGTTTTGCGGTCGAGATGAGATCGTTTGGCCGACTCCAAGCCGCAAGGCCAAACTGAGGGCAAGTGATACAACGTTAATCGCCTCCGAACACCAAGAACCAAAAGGCAAACCCAGCCAAACATAGGAGGCACGCTCTCGAGAGAGCAAGGAGCATCATCCCGAATTTGGATGGCAGAGGAATAGTTGTCGGCACTGAAGGCCTCCACACCTCCAATGACTCCAATGGAGGGAACGAGCAAACGGCGGGAGATGGATGAGTGGACGAAGGAGCATCGTTAAACCTGGAAATCTTGGCGAGACAAAGGTAAGGAGAAAGAGAGTGAGGAGAAAAGAAACGATCCATCTCCTCATCCATTGGGTCTATCATCTCTGTATCTTCTCCCATTATCTCCTTTCCCAACCCTAAGTGATAGAAAACAGTGCTGCTCCTAAGTTTATCTCTATCTCTTTCCTCATCATACCCTTTCATCTTCCTGCGATGTCCGGAAAACCTTTCATCACAAGCTGAAAAGGTAAGAAGGAAACCTAAATAAACAAAGACAGTGATGGATCTCTTCTTCCATCACCAGCTTTCAACCGATGCAATTTGCGAGGCAATCAATAGCAAGAGCAGCATGACATTGTTCATGGGTTTGCCACCAAGAATAAAGTATGTGGGTATGTTTCAGAACCAATGGTACCATTTTGGGGTGGGTGCACCACCCATTTTAGTCTATTTTGCTCGGGATTGGGATGTTCACTGGGGGTACAGGGTTTTGACCCATGGCCAAATCAGTGCCAAGCTGTTGCTTTATTGGATGAATGAATGGAAAGCTGCGTGCAAGTGTGGCTTCCGTGCCTGGCTCAGGCTGAGATGCAGTTGCAGCCCGCTGAAGTTTCCTCCCTGGCGCATTTGTTCATTTGGCTGGCGGAGAACAAGGCGCCGGAGTCGGTAACTGACGTTCTGCCAGGGCCCTCAGTCCCGAGAGGGCCGTGAGCGTCCATCGCGAGAAGGGAGCTGGGCAGTGAAGTGAGAATGCGGGCTCATTGTTTTGCCTTGAAGGCGCCAAGTGCTCAGTCCTTGGACGGGAATTCAGGGGTCCTGTTGAACTTGACGGGTGCTTTGATTTGAGAGTAGGCGGCTTAAGCACGTAGGCCAATCAAGTCATAATTGTTGCGATTGATATGCAGCTGTCTTTTGGTTGCACATGTTGTCTTCCCATGTTTATATAACAGCACGGGCAAAACAAATGGGGTATACGCAGAAGGAAGCATGCCTTAGCTGCCGTTGGTTTAATGTATTTGGATGGGAATATCAATTTACCATAATTAATGCTTGTTCACGATTCCATTGAGTGAATCCAGAGCTACTGGCAGAACATGATGAATTACCCAAGGCGACACCACCTTGACTTTCCGCAGTGCCAGGCATTTTGGCGCGAGGCATTGACATTCATGCACAGGCTTCATCTCAGAATGGGGTAGGCCCTGGAATGGCTGCTTTCCCTTGACTCCTCGAAAAACACCCGCAACATGTGTGGTTGTCCTTTGCTTTTCCTTTGAAACAACCTTTCAACAAGACGTCAAAAAGAAGCAACACACCCAATCGGGTTTTTGTTTGTCCATCATCTTCTTGGGCATCTGCCCCACATGCCCAGGTGGCAGTGCTTGGACTACCCGGCCCATGGGGCCCTGGCCGCCACCTCGGTGTGCCGGCAGGCAGCGGAGCGGTACCAGGCGCAGGGGCGCCTCGGAAGGCAATCGGGAAGAGGTTGGGCCCCGCTCTTCGTTTTTTTCTCTTTTTTTTTTCTCTCCCGCGTTTGGTGTGTTGTTTTTCTAAACTTCGACGAAACTGTTACCAAACTGTACCAAACTGCTACTCTCTTTTTTTCCCGTTTGGTGTCCAAACCAAGTTCCCCAAACGGTTTGGTTTCCGAACCTTTGGTTTCCAACTTGGTCCCTTTGGTTTCCGGTTGGGAAAGATGTTTTACCTATGTCGTTTTAAAGGAAATCTCTCACTACTAAAAGTATTTTGTCCAGGGGACGAATCCGCAAATGGAGGTACTGTGTGGTCCACTGCGCCAAGCTTCTACCCTTGTGCCGGATCTTTAGAGCAAAGCTGCAAAATACTGGTTTGGTGTTGACTAAACTGGGTCTATCTCAAAATCGGCAACCCAAAGTGGGACAAAATGGCCCGCTTCCTATTGGTTTTGCTTTGACACCAGGCAACAGCAAAAATACCTCACAAAAAACGCATCTCTAGGGTCTTTGAACATGTTTTGTTTGCACGGCACGCCCCGCACATCCATCAGAGCTAGATGTATGATGTTGAAAAAGTCCGAAGGGATTCTAAATGCGTTGTTTCCATGAAACGTTCATGAGCTGAGCGCTAGAAATTCACCTAGGTTTTGAACACAGGGCAGGCGGATCGAAACTTGTGACGCCAACAATATCAAAGGCAGACGTATATCCAGAACATATGCCCCTCGTCAGGAATCTCGCCTATGTTGCTATATTCAACATTTTGTCCGTCCAGTGGTTGTTGCATTAAGCTTCCTAGAGTCTTGAGAGGGCGAGATATATATATATATATATATATGTGTACGCAACGCCCGGGGTTTGCCCAGGCGTACAAGCGTGTACACACATATGTATATATATATATATATATGTGCATATGTGTACCTGACTGGTGCTGAGTTGAGGCTTCTGTTCTGACCAGTGCCGACTTGAGGTTTGTGTTCCCTTCAAGGTGGGCTCGAGCAGCATAAGTAGTGGCGAGTGGGAACGTCATGACTCTCCTTTCTAACAGAGACCGAGAAGGCACGCTTCGAGCTGACAGCCTGGAACGAGAATCAGGTTGCTGTTTTCAGGTGCCTGTGGCTCTTTAGGGTGTATGGTTTTAGGGTTAAGGTTTAGGGTTTATTGTTTAGGGTTAAGGTTTAGCGTTTATGGTTTTAGGGTTAAGGTTTAGGGTTTATTGTTTTGGGGGGTAAGATGGTTTAGGGTTAAAGTTAGGGTTTAGGTTAGGGTTTATGGTTTGAGGATCAAGGTGTTGGGTTATGTTGATTCTTTTTTTAGGTTTAGGGTTTATGGTTTAGGAAATAAGGTTTCGGGTTCATGGTTTCAGGGTCAAGGTTTAGGGTTTATTGTCTAGGGTTAAGGAGGGTTTATGGTTTCAGGGTTGAGGTTTCGGGTTTATGGTTTTAGGGTTAAGGTTTATGGCTTATTGATTTAGGGTTAAGATTGTTTAGGGTAAGGTTAGGGTTTATGGTTTTTTTGTTCAGGTTTAGGATTGTGTTTTTTAGGTTTATGGTTTATGGTTTTAGGGTTAAGGTTTGGGGTTAAGGTTCTCTAGGGTTAAGGTTTAGGTTTTTGGTTTCAGGGTTAAGGTTTAGGGTTAAAGTTTAGGGTTAAGGTTTACGGTTCAGAATTAGGGTTTTTGGTTTAGGGCAGCCCTCTTGAACCTCCTGTTGTGTTTAAGGTTTAGGGCAACCCTGCTGAACCACCTGTTGTGGACAATTGGTGGTGCTTGGGATGAGACAGTGGCGCGGTCCGGGCAAAAATCAGGAATTGGCCGTATATATATATATATATACACATAGAAAGAGATAGAGGGAGAGACAGAGACAGCAAACAACAAACAACACACAAGAAGACCTCGGGATGACAATCTAAGAATCTGAGGAGCTATGGCGAGACCATGGTCGGGCACCTGCTGATGAAGCGAGCTGACCGCTTTGAGGCATGCTTCCCAGTTGCGGCGTGTCTTCAAACGTATCCCCGCCTTTTCAACGCTTGGAGCCCCGAGCAAACGTTGAGCAAAGCCTAAATGCACTTTGCGCGACGTTGGGCCAGGGGAACTTGCAGCATGGTCCTTTGCGATTTCCCGGCACCTGCAATGAAATGTCAAAGGATTTCGAGACGTTGTCACCTGCCCGCCTTTGAGACGCTTGACCCAGCCTGGCACTCCTGCGCAGGGGATGGCGGTGCGGTTGTTGTCTGGCTCCTTGCTTGCATCTTGCATGAGTCTGCCTCCACGCAAAGCAATCGGAACCCTTGATTGCCCGCCATGCCAAGGATGGGGGTTGAAGTCCTGGTTGATGTCTCAGAAATTTATGGAAGGACCAAACACCCATTTGAGGCAAGAAAGGCTGCAATTTTGAAGACGAGAGGAAGTGAGCATATACAGCGATGACAAGCAAGCCCATTGATGAGCATTCGTGCGATCTGCGCGTTTTTTCTGCCCTCATCATGACCATTTCGGATGATCAATGCAGGGGTCCGAAAAGAAACAGTATGATAAACAGTGTGCCGAATGTTTCGGCACTTGAGCTTGGCCTCGTGATTGCGGCGATCCTGACACCAACCTTGTTTGGATATGGGAGTGTCTGCTTTGAAGGGTATCCCTTTGGCAGTACAGGGCCTCGCTGGAACATACTCGCTAGTATCCATGTCAAACAGGTGACAACAGCATTTGACTCTAGCCGAAGTCAAACCACCTGATTACTTCTGGGAAACTTACTTGCTCTTTACGGATGCACAGCCAGGACATACAGATGACTCCTATCGAAACACTCACACAAGTAGTTTAGCCGCATTTTGCGGTTGGCTGTGTGATAGCTTGAGGCCAGCAGTGCTCACAGTTCTGTTGGCGCCCCCTGTTTGTTTGGGGTCCGCCAAGTGTGGATCTTTCTGAGAGCCAGGTTTCTCGCAGTGCTTAAACAAACGATCAGCCATATGGACAGCTGGTCATTTTGACAGCACCACTCCCTTTCTCAAATAAGAACTCCTTAATTAAAAGAATAAACGCCTGGCGCACATATCGTTTTTTTCCGGAGGTCCCAAGTTCCAGGCGTGGGGTGTCCAATTCATTTTGTTGGTTCACGCCTTGAAGGGGGAGGTCCTCGCGCACAAAAGGCAAGGCAGCGGACAGGGATGTAGAAGACAGTCAGGGGGAAAAAGGCTTAAGTAGTTCTAAAAGTAATCCCCGCTTCCGGGCTCAAAAAGTTAACAGATGCTTGCTTTTTAAAGAGTTCTAAAGGGAGCAGGAACCCTGTTTTTTGTCCCAAGTAGTATGCTTGTTGACTGATGGCAGGCTGTCCCCTGATAAGACTGGAGGAGAGGTCGGTGGGATAAATTCGGAGCGTAGTATTGGTTTCAGGTTGGCTAGTTTAGATCTAGCATATGTTTGTGGGATTCTGGACAAAACGCATATGATTCGGGGACCCCTAGTAGGGGCAAGGGATTCTGGCCGTGGGCTTTTCCAGATTCCGAGGACTGGATCGCGTGGACCCTTTGGAGTATGTCTTTCGGCGGTCCTGGCGCTGGGGCAATCACCACCTCATATCCTTGGCGCATCACCTGGAGTGCCCCTTGCCTCAGCTCATGGCTGAAGCTTGGAACTCCGGACAGAAATATTGGCAGTTTCCAACAGTTGAAAGTCATCAAAACTGGGTCCTTTCCCTCTTTGCCAAGGGAAGGCTGACTTTGATAATGGTAGAATGTCTGCCCAAGGTGCTGTAGAGCTTGAGGGCTGGAAGTCTTCACAGATGGCCACTCGTGAAGATGTTTTTTTGCTTAAATGAAATCTGGTCACTGTAAAGTGTTTCGCTGGGAAGGTGTCAGCGGGTAACATGTTTTTCATGGGCGAGGGCCTTGATCGTGATTCCAGCGAAGCAACTGGAGCAGAGCCTTTTTTGTTGCTTCGAGCGGGCTGTCAATACTACACGGTGGGATGGGGCATTGTTTGGCAACAAGCTTGGGTCCGCAACAAGCTCCAGCGAGGCAAAGAATTCGTCTCGCAGCATTTCTACAACTCTGCCGTAGACTTGCTCCTTGGCCTCGAACACGCGGCCACTGGTGGCGGATTTGACAGGTTGGATCAAGTGATTTCCACGGATCAAGCGAACATCCTGGCAGTCTCCTTGGCTTCCCTACAAAACAGTCCCCAGTGCCAATTGTGACACAGTCTTTTTGTACCTCAATGCCTGTTGCAATCTCTCTACGTGAAGTTCCGAGCATCCAATAGACCACAAGAAGTGCACTCACATTCACCAGCAGCCTGATCTACAAGTTTACCCCACAGCCTAGGCGCGGGCAACCATCAATCAAGCTTTGAATGTTGAGTTCGCCAAAATGGGCGAGGACATGCTGTGTGACAATAAGCCCGTATTTTGGCGATGCACGCGGGCGATGAGTTTGCAAGGTACAAGTAGCAAGCTCTTGCGATGAACCACACAATCAACGGCTGCTGCCTTCAAGTCCTGCTGGGGCATTTGACCGTGCCTTTCTGAAATCCAACAGAAACATGCTTACCTTTCTTAAGGTCAGCTCCAAGCCACGCGTGCGCTCATGGATAAACACCTGTACCTGATTTCGAAAATGTGAACCAGACCAAGATGGTGTTTAGACCATAAACTCAGGCAGTCATGAGTCAGGAATCCTTGCGCGCACGGACAAGGTGCAAGCTGCATTACAACCGCAGCCCCGCCAGCTTAGAAAGCTTTGTCTCCCCTCGAAGGTTGCGGGGAATGCATGTGAATGAGTCAGTATTTGTTCGCTGGAGATGTTGGATATCAAAATGGCTACCCCAGTTCCACGGGGTCTTGCTGCCACAGGCATGCATGCTATTGATCTCAGGCTTTGGGTGACGCCCACGCCCTTTGCCGTTTTCGCCTTTGACAAAGATGAGCATCGGAGGCAGGCAAACAAGGCGCGGAAGCTTCGCTTTTTGATTCGAGGATAATAGAGCACGTGTGTTTGTGCGTGTGATGTTTGTGTGCTTGAGGTTGGTTGTGGAGCCACTGCATATAATTAGCTTCTTTCCTACATACCACAACACTAACAAATCATAAAATGTCACAGCTTGACCAGTGGAGCTGAAGTGGTGGCATTGGAAGGGGGATGCGTACCCTTGCGCAACCAATTCGGAGGCGCCAGCAGTCCAGGGCTGATCAGGCTTTGCAGATGCAGAACATACTTTTGTTTGCGTGTAGTTATAACATTATTTTTTTTAGATCGTTTGGTTGCAAGGGTTTCTGTTGCAAAAGGTCACATTGCGCTCAATGTTTTTCCCATGCACGTGTGTTTTGTTCTGAAAGATTGCAGTCAACACTCAAGCGTGGTTTGCCCGTTTTGGCCCCCTCTCAATCTTGACTCCCCATTCAAAGAGGAGCAAGGGCTCGGCATGGCGTTTCTTTCGTGCAGGTGACGGAGCCCTACTACGAGGTCGTGTGGCGTTTCTCGGGCGAGAGGCGGCGCCAGCTCAGCCTGCGCGACCTCTTCTCCATCCCAAGGCGCCGGAGCGGCGAGTGGCCAGCTGTTGCCAGAGGTTTCTGGGTGATATATAACGACTTCACACGACCTCACCCCAAATGGTGGATGTGGGGAATGGCCCCCAAGCACCTTATTTCAGGCTGGTGAAATATTATAATTCACCCAGATGTTTTTTTTTTTTTGCATGGAGGTTCTTCCGTATCGACGAACGCGGGCGAGTGTCCCGTGGTCAAGTTGATTTTCCGAGCATTTGTGTTTCGCAATGGTGTGTTCCTTGCAGGCAGCGCCAAGATGTCTTCAGAACGCGGAACCTAGCAGCAATATTTAACACGAAAGTCAGAATCAGAGAAACCTGGAGCTTGCCCTTGCTTGTCTTGTCATTTCTTCTGATTAGCTGAGCCACGCCAGGATCAAAGCTTTGACACACGGCGGGTCCAGAGTCTTGGCGGCATAGATGAGAGCAAGGCGGATCGTCAGGCAGTTGGTGTATTTGTGGCATGGCGGAAAGATTTCGTTTGCCGTTTGCGGAATGTAGCACGAGCACTGCAAGTTGAATTAATCATGCAGTGAACGACTGGACTGCCTTTGATCATTTATTGGAGGGCACGAATTTGGAGCTCAGCTTTGTGTCCAACGGGCATCAGCTTGTTCAGGATCATAAGCCCGTTCAGGCAACCAAAACTGCCCGCGGATAGGTAGTTTTTGGATGGAGCCATTCAAGCAAATCCCTAAGTTTTGGACTTGCCCTGACAAGTCATGAGCTCTTGGAATTTTTGTGATGCCTCTAGGACATTTGCCCCCGGTTCGGTCCCAGCCAAGGAGTGACCTTCGTGCTGCTTTATTCCTACTACGTTCTTTTTGCCTCGGGCGTCGAGGCCGGGAATTCAGCTGGTTGAAAACTGCTCGCTGAAAGCGGGGGAGGATACTTGGTGCGAACGCCGACCAAAGGAGTCGCCTCTGCCTAGATCTGACGGGGCCGGGTCAGGCCCAGGCGCCGACTCGTGACACGTGCAGTTACACTTTCCTTGTTCATATTGCTATTGCTTGCAGCGTCTCCCAGCTCGGTCAGAGTTAGAAGCTTGCACTCCACATTGACATGTGTTTCTGCAGCGGCGCACAGAGTATGCAGATACAGTATGATATTTTGCCTTGAGGAACACTTGTTGAAGATGTGTGGTGGTGTTTGGATTTATCACGCTGCTAGTGAATGTTGCACACATGTGTGTTCTGACAAGTATCGTGTTGTCCCTGGTATTACATGTGTACAGTTGTTCATGTGGGTAAAGTTTGTTTTGCTAGTATCAGTATTTGTTTTGTATTCGGGTAGAGCTCGTTCTGCGCCACCTAGAGGGTAGGATCGCGTAGGCATTCTGCGTACGCCATGTCAACAAACTCCTGCGTAGGTGTGCAGGTACGCACTCGAACAGGTGCATGTCAAGAACGAGGCGAGCGTTGGCACCCTTCCACATGTGTCCACACACGCGGAGGAATCTGCGGAGACCTGCTTCCAGTGGATGGTTTATGTACAGAAAAAGCTCTACCCATGTGGCTCCTCCGCTGAGTGGCCATGTTGATGCACCGTACCCAAAGAGTCGGCTTTGTGCCCATTGGCCACGCATCAGCCCACCGGTGTTCCCCAGAGCATTTGTGGTTGATTGGACCGAAAGTTCAGGAAGAGCAGTGTTGGAACTTCACGCATTCAGTGCCAACCTTCAATGGAAGAGGCAACCAACAGGCAGTACAATTGCAACCAATACTGGTACTGGGGGTGCTTGTGTGTGTGTGATCTGAAAGTGCAAGCTGCTTAACCATACCTGGCTTGCTGAAATGGACCACAAGGATCAGAATAGGTGCAACAGACATGAAATGGCAGCAGGTACGACACTACTTGAAGCAAGTCAGGAACTGATCAGCCAAGTGGAGACCAATCACAAGGAGACAAGTGCATTTGGATGATCATCCTTTGCTTGTAGTGATTAGGCCTGCGCAGCATACGGGCTGATACATGCACAGGCCGAAGTCGGAAGCAGCTCAACAACCACATCTGGAGAGAGGGCGATGAAGCCCCTTTTCTGGGCCCCTTTGTTTTCCTCCCCAAGAAGCTAACGTTGCAAGTTCAATAACGGGGCTTTTCTCAACAGAGGTGCCTCTACGAACTGCAAGCTTGGATTTCGTCTGCAGGATGTAAGGATTTGTTCTGGGTTCTTTGCAGATCTGGCTAGGCGATGCTGATGAGTTTGCTGCTGCTGATTTGGGGCATCTCCTTGGGACTGATCGAGGCCTTGCAGTTGCAGGCCAAAGGCTCCGTGGGTGCCTCGCGGAGAACTCACGGACCGATCTTGTAGGAAGCAAGCCCGGTCGTGACCGAGCCCGTTTTGTGCGTGCGTGCGTGCGTGCGTGCCTGCGTGCCTGCGTGCCTGCGAGTGGGTGTGTGTGTGTGTGCGTGTGTGTTTGTGTTCATTTGAAACACCTCCTCGTACCCTTGAACCCAGAGGAATAAGAAGGGCAATTTAAAGCACTGGGTGGCTTGTATATGCATGTTTGACAAGTGTTTGGCCCAACCTTGCTTGATGCCTGGCTTGGACAACAGTTGAGTTTGAGGGGGATGCTCCAGACTGACTTCTCACCTGGCTGGCAAGAAAGGCAAGTTGAAGAGCCATACTCAAAGACTCACGTGTGCAGGTACTTCGTCTTTTCGGACACAGCCAACATGTGCCCATGTTTCAGATTCTGGTCGAAATAATGGTGTTCAGGGCTCATGTTTTCTGTAGGGGAATGCTGAGATGTTGTGTCCCCCCGTTTGGTTGGACTATTTGCCCTTTTGAAACTATTTCATGGCTGAGTGTAGGATGCCAATTAGATGTAATGTATATAGACAACGCATGGGCGAGGTGGTGACACTTGAGTCTGTTTGGCTGTGCGTGACTTTTGAATGGAGGGGGATTTGGTTTGGGAACGAAGGAACAAACGAACAAGCAAGCAGGCAAACAAACAAACGACACAAACAAACAAGGCAACCAAGCACGCGCAACATAATTCCAAATTAATTCCGCACCCGTTTTAAGTTAAGCCTCACGGAAGCTAGCCGAAATGTCACATTGCTTTGGACAGAAATAGGACGCTTCTGAACGCTTTGCCATTGATGCAAAGATGCGCCTCCTAACCTGTCCCCGAGGCAGATGCAGGGAGTGGTTCTGCGCAGACAAACAACGGCTCCAAGCAAATCCTTGACAACACTACAGGAGTTCTACGTGTTGACTGCCAATAGCTTACCACCAGATTCATGGCTTGATCCTGCACAATCATTAGCAGCGCATTGCAGAAGAACCTTGTTGAGCAGATGAAGTAGCGATGCCTGTAGAACAGTTTGAACTGTGTTCGCAGTGGCATTGCAAGGTACGTTGTCATACAGGTGGCATTCGCAAACAGACAAGCGCACACACACATAACACAACCACACAAAGATGTAGACACACACACACACGCATGATCACTCATGACGGACAAACAAAAGCGTAAACAGTCAAACAATCAACCAAGCAATCAAACAGACAATCAAGCCACCAAGAAACCAAACAGTCAAGCAATCCAACAGTCCAACAATCAAGCAATCAATCAATCAATCAAACAATCAACCAATCAATCAATCAATCAATCAATCAATCAACCAACGCCCAACCACCAAACAGCCAAACAATCAAGCAATCAAACAATCAAGCCCAGCAACCAAGCAATGAAACAAACAAACAATCAAACAATCAAACAATAATGAATCTATCCATCAATCAATCAATCAATCAATCAATCAAAGAAAGAAGCAAGGAACAATCAAACAAACAGGCAGATACTGGAATGAACTGTGCGTGGGAAAGCACCATCACTGCTGTTTGCAAGGTCAGTACATGAACATTTGGAACGCCCTGGATGTTTGCCTCATTTTTACTCTGCTCTTCGGCATCTCGCTCTGGTGGATACTTGTCCCCTGGGCGCTGTCCGAGCAGATGGTAAACTCAATGCACGCCTTGCAACTCGGCCAAGAAGCAGTGGGGCAATAAGCGGGGTGTTTGGGGCCGTGTGTGGCTATGAAGGTGGGCCAGAAATGTCCACAGAAGGTTTCATAAATGTGAAGTTGGTTGGCAAAGGCTGAAATTGAGATTGAAGCGTGCTTAGCATACGGTTTGCAATAGTTGAAGGAGGTATTTGCTTTTGCTAGTATGTTGAAGTGTGTTGTTCACGGGCGCTGAAGTGTTTCGCACCGCGTGACTCAGTGAAGGACTCCTTGGAATCATTCCTTAGGAATTTGCTGCCCTGCTACGTGCGCCTGCTGCAAATCTTCGAGCTTTCGGAGTATTTCGGGACTTTGCTCTTCACCGTCTTCGGCATGGCTCAAGATACGCCGCCTCGTCCAAAAAGCTGGGAGCCAGTCGCTTCGCGCCGAAAGGGGCTGAAATCCATGCCATGGCTTCCCTGTCATGAATTTTGGTAATGCAAAACGCGAGGCTGTGCGGAGAAACTCAGCGCTGGAAACAACAGGGTTGGCAGTCTGACTTGCCACCGCCACGTGTTTGGCGCTGTGCTTTGCAACATTGATGATTCTGTTTCCGCACTCTGCATCCATTGTTTCTGGCTCCGGTAGCATGGCTCCGGAAGCGCCAATGCTGCCCGGTACTCACATGTTGCCTGATTGGCACTAGCTTGGATCCACCTCGGTCGGCATCTTATGCCATAAGATGCAACAGTCCTCGGGCCTGGCAACAGATCGTATCAGAACCCAAAAAAGGGTAGCCTCATTAAAAGACACATCAGCCCCACCCCCTAAGTAACAGGCCACGACAAGGATGAATTTCGTTCGAGGGTCTCTGGTGGGTTCATGTGTGGGTTGTAACTAGAGAGAACCAAGAAACCCAGCTACCTGGTGGGACCTATGGAACCAGATGGGATATGGCGAAAGTTCGAGAGATCCCAGGACCCAATTCCTGGTGCTCCTGGGCATCATTTCGTTGGGCTTCAGCTGCTCGCTGACCCCGATCCTGTACCCCAGCCAGTCGGCGCGCTGGAGCCAAGGCCGAGGGGATAAGCCGCCGTATAACGCGTCGAGGTTAAAGGTCTTCCTGCGCACGAACCAGAAAGGACTGCGGAAAGAACACTGGAAAACTAGAAAACCACTGCAACACTACAGGAATACTACGAGAAAACTGCAAGACAACAAAAATACCAGGAGACCTTGCCCTGCAAGACTACGAGACGTCACGGAAGACTACAGGACAATAAGCCTCCGAGCCCTTTCGGCAGTCAGTGCTTGGCGAAACAGCTAGATACGCAGCAGCTGAAATCCCTCAAGCCGAAAAGGGAGCATTGCTTCTTAAATTTGATGCCTGGCCAGCGACATGGAGCCTGACCGGCAAGCATGAAGGGCAACTGGAAGGCCAGCGCTCTTTTGAAAGATGTTTGGGAGGGTAGTCGTTGGTGCATGGGAAGGTATGCTCTTCGGGCAAACAAGGCCATGGTGGTGTGCAAAGGGTATCGACGGGCATGATGACCTTCGTTAAATCGTAAACTGTGTCCAGCCACCCAAGGATTTTTGCAGAATTTACAAGCAAGCCATAGGTTGTGCAAAGATGTCCAGTTGAGCTCGCCTCTCCACTTGTCACCCCAGGTTACTTGGACATGGCTTGTCCTAACAAGAAACAGAGAAGCAGGCTTGTATGCCACGTTGGTCCATGCAGTTTGGGCCAGAGGGAGCACTGAAACTCTGGGCCAAGCAACCCGACACATCAAGGAATACGTCACCCGGATTTTTCAGCCCACATATTGTTGACAGCGTTTCCGAGCTGTCAGGTTGTGTCCTTTCTTCACCGAGTTGCCGTATCAGTGGGATCTCCCCATGTTTGCTTTCCACGGGCCAGCCCATGGTGCTCCATTCAAACATAGCCCAAAAGGACGCGAACAACATCAAGAATAGCACTGGCGTATGACCGCCTTGCACGTCTTGAGCCTAGTTGATATTATATCTTTCTCGCTTGCCCTGCTCTCCCTGACTCTGATCCTGAAGCCTTGCCAGGTGTCACCTGGGGCTTTTGGGCCATCTTCGGCTACTCGCCGGCAATTGCCTTTGCTGTTGGCTTTTGCTGTGGGCATTGGACGGGTCAGCACGAAAAGTGCCGTCATGTGAGCCTGCGGCCTTGCTGGCTCCGATCAGCCTGAGGGTCCGTTTTTTCTGATGGCTTTGCTTCAAGTACTCCCTTCTGGTGAGGAGTTGGCTCACGGCTTCGCAGAAAACACCTCCCGTGTCAGTCTCGCTGGATGCCTCGCACCGTTTGCCTCAGGAGATGTGGAGTTACAGGACACGGATCCGAATCTTCCATGGTCATTGAAAATTTGCGCTGCTTGGAGCAAATTGGCATGGGCGTGCAGAGTGACTGGGTTGGGCAGAGATGAGCCGGGTGCACCTCAAACGGAAAGGCTGGAAGTCTTTCCCAAGTTCTGTGCGACTGGTTTCTCTCAGAGTCGGCATTTGGCAGTTAGTTGCAGCCTGGCCCTGTCAAAGTCACATGCCAAAAACACACTTTGTTGCATGTTGTGTGTTGGGGATTTACCATGCTTTCTCCGTCCATGCCACAGCTGCTTCTTCTGAGTCCTCGAGTGTTCCTGCAAAGAAAGTGAACAAAAGGCCTTCCGTTCAACCCGCTAGGGCAACAGATGCGCTGCTTCACGGCATGTTGCTTAGCCAGTCATTTGTGTGGCCTAGGTCAGCTTTTTGCAGTACTTGCTCTCGTTAGCATCCAACGTGTTGCTGGTGAACCTGCTGATCGCCATGCTGCTCCTGGGGCGGAAAACAGCGGGCTCAACGGAGCTGTTCTTTTCTGACTCGCAGACATTGCATGGCTATAAGTTTAGGCTATAAGGTTGAATAGGGACTCTTTGGTGAGCATCATTCCATGAGGGTTTCTGTCCTTCAACTAGTTTAGAGGTAATCACGGCATAAGCCGCAGCCATTATCGTGTCAATGTCGCAACCTGGGCATTGTTTTGCGGAACAGTGTTATTGATCAAGACGTCAGAATCAATCAGGACGTAATTCTGCGTTAATTGAGCATTCATCACAAGAAACATGGTACTTTGAACCTGGTTTGAATCAGGCGGTATATCGATTCGCAGCACTTACCATAGAGGCATTCGACATCCGCGGAACTATGTTGTTGACACTGCTGCCTTCCGCGCTCCGAGCGTTGGTGCTCCGCCCAGGAACGACACCTATGCCGCAGCCTTGGGACCTGCAAAGATGCAAGGGTTGCTTCGAGCACTAAACGATACAGATCTAGGGGAAACTTCCCCATTCTTTCCAAGGATCCTTCTTTTCCGAAAACCTTCAAAACCCCAGGGGAAACTGGTTTTTGAAAAGAATGATGGTTGAAAAGAATGGGGAATCAACCCCCAGAACAGAGGTGTAGGAAGGCTTGCGTTTACTTCCCCGGTCCATCCAGGAACTAAATGTTAACGAGTGTGCTAGGATCGCGGCAGCGTGTATTTTTTCTGAGCGGCTCGAATGGACCGGGACTTTGGGTGCCCGGGCTTTGGCCAGTTGCATATCAGACACTTTCCGGGAAAGCGGATGGTTTGACATGTCCAGTCATTAGAATAGAGTTCCCGGACTTTCGACTTTTTGGAAGGACAATTCTGGTGGTAAATATAAAGGCAGACTTTTTTTGGCCAATCCACTGCGGAAGTGAGATTATGCGTATATTTGTCTAAGCATCACTTGAGAAAGAGCCCGTTTGTTTGGGAGGGCCACCAAGAGCGGTGCAGCTGAGGTCGCTAACAAGGACTCCTCCAAGCGCGAGTGGGCCTTCAATCGAGTGGACGCAGTCCTGGAATTTGCCTCTCCAGAGGTCAGCCCACCGCGTTAGCTGGGAGTCATCAGCTTCAGTGTCGGGTCCTCATGTTTTGAGACACACCCAAATCACCAAACATGTGTATATCTCATATATATATATACATACATATACATATTTATGTTTGCACAGGTAGCAAGGTAGGGAGGCAAACAAGTGTGGGTGCAAGAGAGGATGTGGTCCATGGCATGGCAGCTTCCATTGACACGGTTGACTGGTTCCATCGTGAGTCTTGGTTGATGGCTGATAGCATGCCGAAGCCACGTGCCTTTCCTTTGGACATTTAGAACCCACTAATAGACTAAGTACCATCTCAGAAGGATACCAATGCGCCAACATATGTTGGCAGTTTGGGCAGCTGCCGCGTTAGTCGCAGGGAAATCTTGCAGTGGCTGTTTTAAATTGGGGCATGATGGAGAACTGCTTAGGAGTGGGGATGAATTTTATCAATGTCAGCAGAGTGTCCAGTGCGGTTGTTGCAAAAAAAAATGCCAGGCACACATTTTGCCTCCGCCCTTTGACATTTTGGTGCCCGCGGCCTAGTACCCTGTGCGTGTCGCAGCATCCTGAAGGAGTTGGGGGAGAGCCCCAATCAGGATTCTACATCCCTTTGGGTTGCCGTTGTTGGGCAATAGAGTATCGCAACATTGGTGTATTTCTCAACATGGGTCAACGCTTTGCGTCGAGTTGTGAATCCGCGATAGAGTTTGGATTTGCATCTCAGGGCAGGTGTGCGCGTTTGCCACCAAGCACACCCAATTCGCGGTTTGTTTTCCATGGCTGCCACTGCGGCATGAATGTGGCCACCAATCTTGCCTTGGAGTGTCTCAGCCCTCGTCGTGATTGGCTGGTATTGTATGCAATATAATTGTTGTGGAATCGTACATTTTCCGTTGATGCGTAGCCTCGACTGGCTCGCGAGCACCACAGGTGAAAACAGGCAGCGCTCCGCAAGTTCAGTATTACGATGCGTGTTAGATGGAATCACTAGTGCTTTAAGGCGTGGGTTTTGACTACTTCCGCCGCGCAACACGTGACCTGATGTTTGTAGGGACTTTCTTGTGGCTGACGGGAGGATGCAGAAAGATTTGGAGAAAAGAGCAGCCTGAAACTACTTGAGTCTATCATCGCAGTGGCTTGGGTTATTTATTGCCGCGGTAGATTTTGCTTACGCGGCAGTGGCTTGGGATAGTTGTTGCTGATGCGACCAGGCCAGTGGTTCTTTTGCCTATTCCACTGGCTTGCCTTGATTCTAAAGGGGACGAGGGTCCAACTCACATGTCACCCAGTGGCGTTTCAGCGCTAGGTCGTTGAGGGCCTTGTGCGGGAGAGCCAAGCCGGTCAGCAAGAAGGCCGGACCTTGGAACCCAGCTGCGCATAATTCCCATATATTCCCGTTCCTCAAGCTTCATACACATTGACATGCATGCAGACAATGACATATCCTGCCCTTTGGCGACAGGGCGAAGACAACTTCTGCACCGTGACCGGTGTGGTACCACTGGGCCCTCATGAGGCGGAGCGGGCCGATGGGGATGGTTGGGACGGGATTGTGCTTTGCAAGCCACATGTTCGAAAAGCTTGGAAGGTGACTTTGAGAGTGGGCCTAGTGCTTCATATACCCAGACCACACCCACATGTGATCAGGGTGCAGACTTTTAGCAAGTTTTAGCGCGTTTGACTGCACGATTGCTTCTTGATGATCCGCGGCCAAAGGCATAGCTAAATGGGGACGATTTCCATTTTAGTGGAAATAGTTTGTTCACTTGCATGTTACTGGTTTGGTTTTGATAAGCAATGTGTTGTGCGAATTTAAGTGAAGCAGGCCCAACCTACTATCTATGGTGATGCTTGGTTAGTTATATTACGGTTGCATTGTTCGCTGGTGCTTCAATTATATCGAGTGCCCGGAGTAGGGAAAATCCATGATCAAAACTGCCTTTTCTCGCCCGCAGGGAATTCGGGTAGTTGAATGACCTTAGCTCGTGGAACCCCAATAACTGAGGCCTTGAAGGAAGTTTCAGGAAGGTCAAAACCTTTAGGACCAGGCTTTGACGTGCCGGGGTATACGCTTTTTGTGGGATGCCACAATTGACAAATCTGCCACCGTGCCGGATACGCAATAGCTTGAGCTCGTCTTGCACGCCTATGGGTTTTGCTGTTGAAGCCCTCACCTAAGCACACAAGCTGTGAAAACGGCATCCCGTGGATGAAGCCTGTGTTCCAGGACCCTGCGCACAACAAAACACAACATTGTTGTCAACACCATTCTGCTGAAACCCTTCTGTTTTGCTGTGGCGGTCCCCGTTCTTGGACCTTCCATTCTGGTTTTCTTCCTTGGATTCCTTACATGGGCCTCAGGATGCCTCAGGCCTTGCAGTGCAAGTCATTTTGACGTGATCTGAGCTTGCTCTCGAGCAGGGCTCCCCAGAATGCGCGGGAGAAGAGACTGTCCCCCCAGATTCGCCAAGCAAATGCAACGTTTTTTTTTTTTTTTTTTTTTTTTTTTTTCTGCGCAATATAAGTATCAGTGGAATTCCCTGGGAGCGGAGGTCGAGGAGGAGTAGCCTAGCATCCCCAGCAGCCCTAGCAAGTCACGGCTGTATTTGGTTTGGGGATAAGCGAGCACCAGATGCAGGTCCCCGTATGGACCCTGACATGGCCCCCGCGTGATATGGATTGCCTGGCCGCAAAATTGCGCGAATGTTTGCATCCATTGATTGCAGGTGGAGATCAGCATCGAGGTGAAGGGCGGCAGTATCCAGGTAAGTCCGACCGGGGGGGGGGGTCCCGACTGCATAAAGGCCTGTGTGAAATATCTTGGGTAACGCCTTGCACAAAGCTCCACGAGCTCGAAAGGCTGCATGTGAAAAGTGGGCAAAGCTAGCCTTATTGGATCGTTGTTTTTCGGTTGTTGCGGAGAGACCACCAACAAGGCTGCATCCGTGCTAGCAATGCAGGAGGTTTGTGCAGCATGCCAACAGCTGCTCCAAAGACAGCAAAGCGAAAAGCAGATGCACGGCGAAAGCCCCGCACAGAGCCGCCGACCAAATCAAATCCTGTGCTGGCAGCCCAGTCTTGTCGAAGAAAAGTGAAACGTCATCGAGCCTGCCGATCACAAGGCCCCTGAACGAACAAGCAGCTGCAAGCAGACTTGGATACAGATGATACTGTCAAAAGCTGGCAACAAAACGCAACAATATTTATGCGACAGCGGCTCTCCACGGCTCAAATGTGCTCACCTGCTCATCTTCCAGGTGCAGATGCTTAGTGAAACTGCAGTTCACCCTTTCCTGCACCCCCAAGCAGCAAACGAGTCACGGCGAGCAAAGCCTTCAGCTGGCCGAAAAGCCTCAACAAATTATATCAGTAAGCAGCAGTTTGCTTAGGACTGCCAAGCCAGCCTTCAGAAAGCAGTTTGCTCAATCTGCGAGGGTTCAGCGGTCCTTTCTCCCGATTTTGTATGTTGAAGTAAGAAACCACCATAACGTGTTTTGCCACTTGGAGGGATCAGCCGCATCATCCTTCGGACGCATTCCATTTCTCACGAAAGAAGCCTCGGGGAGGCTGCCTTGAGTTTTCCTTGCGTTAGCAAGGCTTAGGAAGAAAGGGGGTACGGGGGGTGGTCCCCAACGCAAACCCTGAAAAATCACACACACACACAACCCCTGAAAATCAGCCCCTCCCCGTCCGGGGTTCGACTCCTCCCTGGTCTGCCCTTGGGTTTGCCCTTCCGCCCGGTACACGCATGTCATTCCCGCGCGCCCTCTATGACTATGACTCTGTCGTGCACCCCGTGTGAAAAAAACGGCGAAAAATCAACTGCGGCACAGATGCCAACGGTTTCAGGCCTGGGCCCCTCTCTTCCACCAATGTGATTTACAGCCCTGCACTTGCACACGTGCTTCGTCCACTACTGCAGTGGCTTCCGCCCTGCGCTTCGCCTTAGCATGCGGCCGCGGAAAAGCCGCACGAGAACTCTATGCCAAACTTCCAGCCGACCCGTCCTACGTTCGAACTTGATTTTGCTCTGCCCGTGCAGCATCCGGATACTGCCGCGTGTGTGCTGCCTCGAACCTAGTGCCGAACAACGCTTCGAGCCAAAAAGGCGTCCCTCCAACCCTTTCACTTCAATGCAAAACATCGGATTTACAACCGAATTCGATTGATTTCATTCAAACAATTGTCCCTGCAACACCCTCGATCAGCGGAATGATCAAGTGATGTGGGTTGCCCGGAGGCAGCAGAGAGCTCGCTGCTGGCCTGGGTGGACCAAGACAAGGACGCGGAAGTCCGCTGATCGCGGGATATGCGTCATCAGTTTGACTTTTGGGGCGACAAGTTAGGAACTGGGGTTGTTTTCCTAGAAGCTATCGCCAATGGTTCTTCTGAATTCGCTCCCAGGAGGTGACGGTGATGCCAGAAGAAGCCATGACCGTGGACAGGAAGTGCAACCAAGCAGCACCCTTGCTGCATGGGAGGGGATAGCAGACGTGCGAAGTCAGGTTGGGCAAAACACCACACTTGGAAGATGGCTGGGGCTTATATCGTCGAGTGTGTCTGTTTGAGCGACCTCCAAGGTGCTGGTCTTCCGTGATGTCGTCCTTAGCAAGGCCTTGCGCTTCACCTTTGGCGGCAAGGTGCGCGCACGCTTTGAATCGACTGCCCGGGCATGCTTTGGCTTCACTCATCCTTCCTTGTTGGATGCATGGTCGTGCTTGAGACATTGCTGTCATGGGAAGAGACACGTTTTGGGCATTTGGCATGATTCCGCCATATTCAGATATTATGTCTTGACTGGAACCCGGGTCGGAACCCGTCTCTGAGCAACATGCCGTCGTGAATAGCATTGCCAATGAGACCAAGACGGCTTCGAAGATTTCCACTGTCAAGGGCAGCGGCTATGAGACCGTCCGGGTGTATCTGGATCAGGACAGTTGCACCCTGGAACCGTGAAGTTTCGGAGACGCTCTTCGAGGCACTCACGACTACCCGGGCATGTAAAGCATTATGAGGACTTGTTGACGCTCTTGCAGGATAGATCGATTTAGCATTGTTATGTTGTTGCCGCCACCGTGGTCGTCAGCATGACGGTCATCGTGATCAGCCCAGAACACGGCATGACTAGGCCAATCGCTATGTTACCAAGGGACTTTACTCACCATGATGTATTTGTTTGGGAGGAGCCTTAGTCCAGTCCTCTCAAAGTAATTATTCATTCATACATGCTGTCATGTTAGTGATGGCCCGCATCACATCTATACACCAGTTGCAAGATGTGATGGTAGTCACTGGCCACAACAATCAGTTGCTTGTAGGAAGGGAGCAAATACCAACGGTAGGCAGGTTTGTCCACCCGCAATTCAGTTTGATTGTATGGCTGGTTGTTTGCCTGTTTGTTTGCCTGTCTGCCAGCCTGTCTGTGTGTCTGGCTGCCTGCCTGCCTGCCTGCCTGCCTGTCTGTCTGCTGTCTGTTTGTCTGTCTGTTTGTTTGCGCTTTTTGGTTTGTGTGCTTGTGTGTTTTTGTGTTTGTGTGTTTGTGTGTTTGTTTGCGTGACTTGCTTGCCTTGTTTGTTTGCTTGCTTGTGTTTGTGTCCAAAGTAGGGACCCCTTTTTGGGACCACTGTGAATGAAACCAACCATGTGGAAGGTCCGACAGATTTCAACACACGTTCTTGAAGGGTTGGTATACCTGACCTGCCTTCGTCTTCAAGGCTGTCCAAGTCTAATGCCTTTAACGAGCGCTGATTTCTGACCATCTTTTGGTTTTTAACGGCAAAGCAAACCCCAGTTGCCCAGTGGCGCCCTTCTTTCCCCTTTTTCTCTCGGAAGGCTTCCCCTTTAAACTCAACCAACCCAAAAAGGATGCTCCTTTTTCCCCATGGCTGGGCATCTGAGAAAAGAACGCCGAAGCCCAAGCCGCGAGTCAGGACTCCTGGACCAGAGCGCTCACGCGCATGGAGCAGCGCCACATCAGCTTCTTGCAGCAGGAGCGGGTGCGTGGGAGGGAGGTCATGTCCACGAAACCTACCCACCAGGAGGGGGTGGCGGGAGGAATTTGGGGTCCAAGAAACCTAATACCCACCAAATGCCAGGGAGGTCTAAAGATATTGGAAATAAAGAACGATCCAGAAGGAATGTCTTACAGGTTGGATAGACGTCCCCAAGTTCCGCCAAGTTCAAGTGGTGAGCCCTGTTTTTGGAGGATGTGTCAAGGGCAAGCACAAGCGAAACATGTGAGCAACACGGAAAAACAGTCAACGGTTCATTTGAGCAAGACGGGTGGACTGCGTCTCCATGTTCCCTATTTCCCTTGACAGACGATGCCCACTACGTGTTTCGTTTTTTACTGAGCTGCATTGTACAGGGGCTGGACACTTCGGCAGGAATGAGCAACCTCAAAAGAGATGCAGCCGGACGCTTTTTCCAAAATTGTGCCGGAATTCGTCGGATGATTCTACAGTCTACAGGATCTTGTCAGCTTGCCACGTGAAGCACATCGTCTCGTGGCTCACGTTGAGAATGGTACTTGAACTTCTCAAGTCAACAAAGCAAATGTTCACAGCACCCGAAGCTGTGTACGTTCCAGTTCCCTTACTCCTGATGTTCAAGGCCCAGATTGGCTGAGATATCCGAGCTTTCAGCTTGAGGTCTGGGAGGCTGCGGCTGAAGGGACAAAGTCATGGGAGTTGCTTTGTTTTCTGCACTTAATCATCAGATGCACGGCCTTGTTTCACCGCAAAGAAAGCAATGGCTTGAACGATTCAGCAGAGTGAATTAAATAGACGCTTGACAACTTGTCAAGTCGATGGGAGATAGCAAGGCTGTTATGGGGATGCCCTCTTGGATAATCTCTTGGTGAAGCCGCCTGGAACGCAATGCCCACAATGTAGACCTTCAGGACAAGCTTAATTTGAACGCGTTCATTCCAACAAGCCCAGCATCCTGGGATGGAGAAATCGACTCGCTCGCAGAGGAAGTGCTGATGCAGGAGGCAGGCTGTGGATCTGTCATGCAGCGGATAAAGCATCAACACATGTCTTGGGCAAGCAGTTGGGTTGAACAGAATGGTCGGCACCCCCTTCAAGAAGGACTGGAGCAACGTATCATATTACAATATTACATATAAAGGGTTGATTTATTTGTATACGTAAATATGACCGAGATCCTTGGCTCACTCCTGAGATGCACTTGCCATTTTGCCCCTGGATGAAGCTGGCCAGTGGAGTCAAGCGGCTGGTGCCAAAAACAGCTCAAGGTTTGGAAGCCCGAAACTCTTTGCTGTGTCCTGCACAGGTCTACTCTTTTGAGTCAGTTTATCTAGTCTCTTTTGAAGGAAAGCGCAAGGGACGGTTCGGGGCCATTCCCTCGTTCAGCAGCTTGATTTTGTCCGAACCTGGAGAGGGGTGAATGTGGAAGGGAGCAGGGAACACAGCAAACAGAAACAACTGAAAGCCTTCAGGAACAGCACAACTTGGGCAGAGCCGTCCATTCTAACAGTATGTTGTTTGTGCTATGTCATGCTGTTCGCAGTCGCATGTGGCGGGTGACATGGAACCACGTCGATCTTTAATATCGGGGAGCTGTGACGCAGAGGAGCCGATAGTAGTCACTAGCTGTTTGTCATTCAGGCAGACGAGCCAGTGGAACAGCGAAACGAAGCAATCGCCTGGAGGCCCAGTTGAGCCAACTGCTCGCCCGGTTGTTTCTGATATGGTTGAGCATGCGTCCCCTTTTGGAGACCATTGAGAAGTTCCCGAAAATTTCCAGATCAGTGGTCAAGCGTCTGAAATTTCGATGAGTGTTTGTGATTGCAAACACGGTTTTATACCGGCTTTGTTCTGCTCACTAGCTCGAAAGGGGGGGGGACAAGAGCAATTTCAGCAGATTTGCTGTGTGCCAAAAGGGCCATTTGGATTGCTTGGCCTCCAGTTCTACAACAGCAATCGTTTGGGAGGGCCCAAACACTGGCCTTCTCAAAGCTGTTCAAATTAATACTTGTCTTGTGTTTCGGCTTGCTTTCCCCGTGAAAATGGAACTGATCGAAGAGGCGACCCTTGGTCTTCCCTTTCATGCTTGGTGCAATCGGAAAAAATGCAGCTACTCAAAGATGTAAGACACTGACCCAATGGCTGTGTGCCCACTCCCATGAAGGCTTTCCTGCAGATTTGTCCTTTGACGTTTGTGACTTACTTGAAATCACCCAATGCCACTCGGAAAATGGGGCGGCTGGTCGCGTTCACGCGAGCTCTGAGGTCAACGAGACAAACCAGAAGATGTCCGTGGCGGTCGTGGCAACCTCAGCCTTGAGAGCTGCTTTCCGGCTTCCCGCACGTGTCACGAGCCACGAAACCTGGACCGCCCAAAAGCAAGACACTGCTGGGATTCTGTAAGCAAAGAAGCAAAGGTGCGCTGAGCACATTTGCTGGATTGCAAGTGTGCTTGGATATCCGATGTTTGCTGTTGGACAAAGCCTTTGAAGCCTAAGATCAAGCACGCAGTGCTTTTGCGGATGATGATGATGATGATGATGATGATGATGATGATGATGATGATGATGATGATGATGATGTTGATGATGATGATGATGATGATGATGATGATGGTGTTGATGATGATGATGATGATGATGATGATGATGATGATGATGATGATGATGATGATGATGATGATGATGATGATGTGTGTGTGTGTGTGTGTCAAATGCCTTGTGCGTGAGCAGTGGTCTCTTCTGTGTGTTTCCGATTTTGTGGCTTCTTCACCTGCAAGGTAAGAGCGGAGACGTTGACCATTGAACAAGTTACCTGCTGGCTGGTTTGCGGATCGCTTGATCTGCGAGAGGTACATTTGTACAAACATCTGCAGAATGCATGACGGTGGTCCTTTGGCCGTATACTGATACGGTGACATAGCAAGGGTACCCATTGCAGCCTAACACCCCTTTCAAGACCTCTCAATCGTTAGATGGGCGAGCGTCAACCGTGCTCGCACGAGGACGAGATCCGCAACTTGTCCAAATGCGTGGCAGATCTCACAGAGCAGATGCGGCTGCAGGCTGGAACGAACAAATAAGTTGCGTTTGTTGGGGCAGGGATATAATCCATACAGTTGATTCCAGAAAGATTGCCGCCTAGCTCGGATCCCTCGGCATTTGTCCACTCCTTCCGGTAAGTTTACTTGCAGTTGATAAAAGGGATCAACCGACAATGCTCAATGACTTCTTTCGAAAGGCCTCGGCCAGCAGATCTTGGCTGGTTGGATTTAATTCCGCGAGTGTGATTTGAAACAAGCAATCTTGCAATCACGGGGTATAAGAAAGCACTCCCGATATTTGCTCCTTTGTACTCAAGATGTTTTGTCATGTTTCTGCTGTCTTTGTGATAGCTCGTGTGATTTTGATGTTTTGCTCGATGCCGGGGCTGTTTCGCGGAGGTCCTTCGGGTGCCTGTCAGGTCTTGCAGTCAACCCAATCAAGCCTCTACTCATCCTAAACGGCTCTTCCTCAACATAGTCCTGCTGACCCTCGAGCCTCTTTTGGATGAAAGCGAGCCGCTGGCCGGCTTTCGTCTCACACCGGCCCGCATTTTGACCGGCAGCCCTTGCACGGAATGTTCCTCATTCACGCGGCTCTTTTGGAAGATCATGTTTGTTCCTATGCCCAACGCTTACTTACCCGTACCTGTTTGACGTGTTCACCTGTTCAAGCAGTTCGTGGCAGCAGGTCACATTGACAGCGGCGCTATAGTTATTCAAACTGCAGCGTGGTTTGATCATACAGTCAAATGTTTGCGCACGTGTAACATGCTAAGAGAGTAGCGGTTGCATGTAATTGCAGAAGCTTCGCGCTCCCGCCTCGGCCAGGGATTGTTTGATTTAGAGGGTTCCTTTGATCTCCGTTCTTGCCAGGGCCAGGTGTGGGGAAGCTGGGCAGCTGGCCAAAGAAACAACCTTCATGCCTGGCCATGCGTGAAAGTATCAGCCGAGTGAAAGTATCCGCTTAGCACTGAAGCAATGCCTTGATCCAGCGAGAGGCGTGCGCGGCCCAAGCCCCGGCCCCACTGCCGACCATGGAAGCGTCCTTGCTCCCTACGTAGACGCTCGGAGATGATTTCCCACCCTGGGTCAAACTCCATCCAGCTTAGATGCCCCCTGCCGGAGTCTGAGCCAGACACCAGTCAGGGGAGGTGAGCAACAACCGCGAAGGACTGCTTCACGCGTCTGCTTGCACAGGTGTGTATCATTGACAATTTCAGAACGCAATTCGGCGCGAGCGTATTAAGCAACGCGCGCGTATATTCCAAGTGTTTCAGGTTTTGCCGCCCTAAGCCTCTAGTGAAGCCAGGTCCAGCGAAACAGCTCCTTGGAAGGAGAGCTTCTTGGCTGCAGAGCTGGCGGGCCTTTGGCGCTGGAGTTGGTAGATGTTGGCGTGCTCACTTTGACAGCGGGTCCAATGCTGCTTGTGCTGCTGTTCTGCTGCTGCTTCTCTGCGTTTGACTGGCTTAATTGTGCTGTTCGTTTTCCGGCTCTGCTTGTGTGACGTAGAATTATTTGGAGGGTCAGCAGAATCATGCAAGCTGAGCCAGTTTTTTGTTCTTTTGCGAATTGTGACAATGACGTGGATGTTGTTCATGTGCTCATGATGCATGCTGCTGCCCGCATGTCCCGAGGATTCGTGAGCTGAGAGTGGCGTTGGATGGCAAATCAGCATGACTCGCCTGGCTATGCAGGATTACAGCTAAGCTGGTGCCGAGGCGAGTGGCACAGATCGCTTGTGTCTAGGTTGGGATGCCTCAGATTCACCATGAACAGGTGAACAGCACACCGGCGCCCTCGCTGGTTTGAGTGGAGGTGATGGTTGTGGTTTGGGCATTAGAGTAGAATCTCCTGTGTTGCGAACATCAGGGTAGCAGGAGTGGTCGACATGCAGGTATTTGACAGCATACTTTTGAGAGAGCAAGTCACGAGGAGGGCGCTGTGTCAACAGATGTGGGATTCCTTCGAATTGCTGGCATCGAGCGTCCAAAGATAATTTCGAGATGGGGCCCTTGAGACAGAACATTCTGATTATTCAGTCATCGTATGTGTGCTCAAGCTCAGAGCATTCAATTGTGCATGCTATCATACGGTTCCTCACTTGCTGGTTCGCCCCATATTCAAAGAAGCTTGCAGCTCACAGAGGGGAGCCCAAAAGTGATGTAGGCTTGGAATGTATGCGCTTGAGAGGCACTAAAAGACATTCGTTTGAATTCGGAACCATGGAGGTCGCCATGTGCAGGCGGAATAGTCCCCAAGCAGAGCTGCGAGGGACGGTGGCTTCGTGACGTCAAGTCAGAGAAAGTGCAAGCTTCCCAAATAGGAATTTCGCCCCAAAGGTCCCAACAGTCGGTTTGATGTTTGGTTTTTCTTGTAGACCCAACCAAAAGGTTTGCCATCGCTTAGCACAATTGTGCCACAGATGCCCGTGGCATCTCCAAGTTTCCGTGCCTAGCGGCAGCCTCTGGCTGCGGCCATGGGCTTCCAGTCAGACAGGTCATCATTTGATGGCTCGCGAGAAGTGCAAACGTGAGTTCCAGCGGCGTCCTCGCGTTGAATGATGCACCGCACTTTTGGGGTAACATGGGCAAAGCGAAATGATTGTGCAGACCCAAGAGAAAGACTGGATCGTAGATTTCCGGAACCTTCTTTACAGAAAATTCGGAAAGAAAAAGGTGATCCCTGTGCTGCTTTGGCTCCTGAGGCGGCCCGCACAGCATTACGGAGTATCATTACGGTTTGAATAGCCAGCTTAAATTGTGCAAGATCGGGCCGGCTTAGTTCCGCTTCGCAGGAAACCCACACACACACACCCACACACCTCCGGCGACACATACCATCACCGCAGAACTGGCTTGCACGTGTTAAGATGTACTGATACATTCATGACGCAGCTCTTCACATTCCAGACTGCGAGCTGGGCCATGGTCATCCTTAGGGATTGCCATAGCCGAGTAGCAGGCGAGAGCATCTCAGAGGGCCTTGCCGCCATCAAAGTCCTCAGCCACCAACAGGTAGTTCCCCTTATTCTGAAACTCATCAATGTGACATTTGCTTATTCAGTATGGAGAAGCTGCACTCCCCCAAAAGACGTGCGGAGGAACAGCAAAGGCGGGGATGCACGCATAGCATCACCAGAAGTGGCGCAGATGCAAGCGAATGCAGCACCAACAAATCGAACAGGCCAAAGAGCTCATGAAGCTTCCTCTTGTGCTGTTCTCATCTGGCACCTTGTGCTTGTTCACAATCAGGATGTGGGGACTCACACAAGCAGACCCAACCGGAGTCCAAGTCATCAAGGGGCTGCGCGAACGCTCGATCGAGGCCACTGAAGCGGATCGCTAAGGGTCGAACTCGACGCATTCGCGCCCCAGGGCCAGAGGAGGAGCCGGGCCCCAGACGCAGTGGACGCAGTGGACGCAGTGGACGCAGTGGACATTCAAAGTTTTTTTTTTTTGTGGGCATGTCGAACAGAGGGCAACCCATAAAGCAACTTGTCCAGCCGCAGATTCCTGTTAGCTCCAATTGTTTTGCAGATGGCTAGCTTGCCAGCTTGCCAGCTTGCCGGCTGGCTTGCTTGCAGTTATGTAGTGGAACACGAGTGAACTGTTCCTTCAGAACTGTCCTTCTCCCCGAACTTGAAAGGGCCCAAAGGTTTGGGCAAACCCCACCCCCTAAGCTCATTCTTGGCACAGTCCGGGCTCCCCAAAGTTAATGGCAAAACACAAGTTCCCAGATTACAACAGCTATGGCCAGTTCTGCCTATACTAATTCCCTTCAAGGGTCCCGCTCCCAACGCCGAAAAAGAAACAGCTGGCTAGAGGCATAAGCATATCGCAATATGTTTTGTTTAAAAAGCCATGGTTAATAGCTCGCAAAGGGCGCCCTTCTCGTTGCAGTGCTATTGGCGGAGGGAGGCCTGTCGGGGACTGGTGACAGGCGACGATTGGAGACGACCGGATGAATTAATAGGGGGCTGCCCAGGAGGACCCTGCTCCAAAAGTTGGAGTCAAGCTCAGCAATCCCCACTGGGCTTTCTCATGCGAACATGTTGACGGGTGTGGGGTTGGCTGAAGTCTCCCGAGCACAAGGAGATGGATGCGCACAACTCAGACGTTCCGACTGAATGGCCGCACAAGGTGCGAGGTCATTCGGTCGTAGGGATGGCAAGTGTAGAGTGAAAGGAATGAAGGAGCTTCTTCGTCGTGAGATGGATTGGGCCCAAAGGTGCGTTTCTTTGTTTCGAGCTTCGTTCCAACAATCCGGGGCATAGAGCTGATTGCGTGGCTTCAAGGACCAGCCTCCGCAATTGATACACGCGGAGTTGGTAGCAGTATGTGCCAACCTACACAGGGCACGCGACTGAGCAAAGTCCCCTAGGCCACAGGCCCGCATTGAGATTCGGTGTTACAAACTACAATTCATACCTCTGCAGCAGCTTCATTCCAGAGCACTTCGTGTTTGTTCAAAACCCCTTGTTCAACTTAGATTAATGTGGATAATACAGACGATACGGGCGGATACGCGTTCGTCATCCCCTTCCTGTTTGTCCTGTCACACGGTTGGACTCGCTTTGTTCGGTGTTTCAAGAGCAAAACATAGCATGCGACTCTATGTCATGTCAAGCCACACGGGAACTGTTGCCATGTGAGGGGCATTTAGGGGCTACTTCGGCTTTTTCTGGCCCATGATCAGACAGTTTTAGGTGGAAAGCAACATGTCGGGTCAGCGGGTGCGCTTGCCGCGCTTCGAATGACGGCTTTTGTCAAGGGCTATGAATCCACTTCAAGTCAGTGTGCAACTCAGCAGGCAGGACAGTATACGACCAGTGCTGGCCATATTGTGATTTTGGTCCGCTGTTCATGTGACGGTCACGAAGTTATCGGAACACACACACACACACACTGCGACATTGAGGACCAGGTTTGACAAAAAACACATGCTTTTGCGATACGAAGAATCAAAGGTCTTGAGAGTGCGGCAAACAACCCCGTTGACGCAACATGTTAGAAGGGACCTTAGTTTTGAGGCAGCCATTTTGACATTGACTCACAGCCGGTGCTTTGTGTTTGCTAGGTGCCGCGACTGCCCTCTGACTGCTCAAGCGCAAGCGGCCCAGAGACGAGAGCGGAGACGGGGGTTTAACTTACCCTGCCCAGTACAGATGTTTTCCACGGAATTTCTCAGGTTGTGGAGCTATGTGCTGCCTTTGTGCAGATCAGCTGTTGGTTAAGAAAGAGGTCTTTGTTTGACAAGAGTCGTCTTTTGCATTCCTGGTTGAGCTGCCCGTACAAGGAGCCCCGAATCGGACCAGATGTAAATAACTGGCAGAAACTGCAGCGCTTTGTTCAGCGGCGGCATTTAGGCGGCGGGTTTGAAATGATTGACTTCCTGCTGTCGCCAGCAAATCAACGCATTCAGAAGGTCACAGCCGCTGTTGACAGTCCAAGTTTCTAGCCTTGTATCAAGCTGCTGCAGAGCCGCGGTAATGTAGGGCCGTCCGAGTATTGCTCCTTCGCAGTCAGAAGCTCGTGAGCTTGATTGGGTGCGACCAGGACTCGCTGGCAGAAGTGTCCGAAGTCAGGTGGCTGGCTCAGCATTTGTGCATAGCCATTGTCCGCACAGCGGTATGCCTTGCTACTTGGGCTTGAGGTTGGCATGGTGTGCGATGCTTCTTGGAAGGGCTCTTTTTTGGGGGGGGTTTTGCCAATGGCTAGGTGGGACCGCTTTGAAACACATCCCTTGGAATGAAGATGGTTGTGGAGTGGAGGCACGATCCTTTTCACTGCTTTGGCCAGGACTTTCAGAGCCGCCGCCAGATGCGGGCGAGGGTGCGGCCACGGTTTCTTCAGCGTGACGTGTTCAAGACCTTGGGGCTTTGTGCCTGTTGACTCTGCACTCAACTGGACAATCCAGACTCAGTCCTTTCCTGCCCTTTCGGTGCCAGACAAACATAGAGCCAGACAAAGCTACGATTGTGCTGGGCTTTGATGCCGATCAAAGGGCGCACTGCGACCCTGAAAACTGCAGCCATCACAGACGCATGAAATCCAGCTTCACACAGTCAAAACTGCTCGAGCCAGTAACTATCAAGCTCAGCAGCTAGCCGCAAATGATTTCTCAGCATTTGCTCCAAGGCTAGCCCATTAGTCCACACATGCCAGCTCAAAGCATGCCATTGCGCCAGCCACGACTTGATTCCATAATCCGCGATTGCGATCCCTTCTGATGTTCGGCTCGGCCGCTGCCATGCTCTCGCCTCATTGCTTGACGCAGCGACAGATGGGGCAGGAGGGGTGGTTGGCAAGCACAGGGTAGCCAGCTTTGTTGCAGTGGAATGTGTCCAGATTGAATACGCCATCCTTGGCATGGCTTGAAAGCTTGGGTTCTCGATGTACACATGCAGATCAAGAGCCTGATTGCTAGAACCAGTCATGTATTTGGCCATGTCTCTTTTTTCACCCATGCCTCCACCAAGTTCATGGTTGATCCTCGACGTAGCCGCTGTGAGCATCGTGGATGTGCCTTGGGAGGCGCCCTGAAGCGAGAGTACTTTGGAGCACGCTTCGTTTGCTTGGCTCATGTGAATGCCAACTATGCTCATGTGAATGAATCCTTTTCGACGATACTTGCCTGCACTTGTGACATAGAGCCCGAATAGGGAATGGTCGAGATCGGAAGGCGATCCATGGGTGCGCGTGAGGGATTTATATTTAGTTAAAGTTATGTAATTCATGAGTATTTGGTACACCCATTTTTTCCACCTCATAGCACACATCGTTAATCATTCTGCAAGTCAGCCGCAGGGGTGATCGCCGTCCACGCACCATGAATGCATAGCATGGGGTCACAAAGGAGCGGCGGCACAGCTGTTCGAAGCAACTCTCTCTCTCTCTCTCTCGGCCTCCGCTTGGCATGCAAGCCCTCGCGCAGGCCAGGAGGAGCAACATTATCCGAGTCACACGCCAGCGCCCCAAAATTTATGAAGATGCAAGTGGGGAACTGGCAACAGCCGTTGGAAGCGGCGCAGAGAATGTTGGTTTTGGGATAGCCTTCGGCTATGCGGCTGGATTTCTTGCACCAGCGCATCCCCACAGTGCTTTGGAATGATGCCGTATCCCATGATTCTGTGAAGCTTGTGTTATGGATTCAGGGTGAACCCATCCATTTTGTATTTTGTGCCCATTTAGTATCTTGTGCCCAGGGTATCATTGTGGCTGTCCCATGCTTATGCACAAGAGCTGCCAATGCAAGGCCAGCCATGTGATGACTGCTCGACCCTCGAGCAGTTGTACCAGGAGCAGTCGGCGTGCTGGGCCCTTGCTGAATGCCACTAGCTTGTGAGTCGCTGGTTTGAACTGAGAGCTTCAGAGCGAGCTACGGCACTTGATCAGCACGCCGAGGGTGGCATTGCATTTGTTGTTGTTTGGTTTTGCTGTGGCTGTAGCTGTGGCTGGCATTTCTATGTGTCCTTTGCTTTCGGAGCCTAACTGCTCATGAGCCAGTGTATCAGTGGTCGCTGGGTCTGTTGCTTGTGGAGAGGCGAATGTCAGGCAAGATATTTGATGCTCGGGATGTTGGCCCTCCAGCATGCTGCTTGGCACCCAAGTTTTTCGCCAGATCCATAGAAGAGCCGCGTGAGAGGACAACGAGCTAGTTTTCCTCCTCTTCTATGAGCGCAACTTGGTCTCGCACCACGCATACAAGGCTGGTGTTTGATGTGTGATCTTGAAAAGATGGTTGCCAACGTCAACATTATTTGCAATGTGGACATCCAGCAAGCATGCGACTTAGAATGCTGGAATTTGAAGATGCAAAGATCACAGGATTGAGTCACTGGAGGAGTTGCTCTGGCGTGTTGAGGGCTGAACGTTTAGCCTGGCACGGAGTGGTGGTTTCACTTTGACTCAAGAGCACACTTTACATTGCGAGGTACTTTGCAGATGATATTATCAGGACATTTGGCCCTGTCCAAATAGGCTTCATATGGGGCCCGTGCGAATGATAGCACTACTTTTGATTCTAGCAGCCACATGTGATTGGGTGGCTTTCAGCTTTCTGTCTAGAAATGCCAAAGCTGGCCAGGGTGCCATCATCGCTGGCTTCCACGAGGCGGCCGTGCTTGGGACGCCAATCTCGGGATGCATCAGAACTCCAGCGCCTCTTTATTTCTGATGCAGTTCCCTCCAATGCTCGCGCCGCTGACTCCTTTGGTTTGCGCTTTGAGTGTGCGGCCACTTGCATGGCTAAGACTGGCCCGGGAGTCATTCGGAGGCCTGCAAAGATCTCCGATGGTCCCGAGCAGCTTGGCAGGGAGGTCGGTGATGACTTCAGCGGGCGTTGGAGGTGTGTTTCAAACATCCAGCGTTGTAACTTGAACATGGAACTGTGTTGTGTGTGTGTGTGTACATTTGTCCTTCTCCTTTTGTTTGTGCTATATGGAAATGGACACATATTTTCAGGGAATTCTCCATCATGCACAGTGGCCTCAGCATGTTGGAGTAAATTGATGGAGCTAGGACTTGGCCTTGTTTCACGTGTGCAAATGTCTGAGCTGGCCGCAGTGCCTCCCATTGTAATGGATGGCCGATATTTTGCCATTTGCAGGTTCTCCCGGGTTCTCCTGTGTTTGACAAAGTTTGAGGTTGTTGTTGGAGCTCTGTCCATATTTTTCCTCCATCAGGTAGCCTGCGGAATCGTGGACATGCTAGATGTGGTGCGCTTAGCTCAAGAGCGCATTCGTGTCCCACTCCGCAGTACAGAATCCGCTTGCTGTAGCCTCCTTGGCGCTCAAGCGCTCAGTTGAGCGTCACTTTGGGTAGCTGCGAGGACAGGGCCTATGCAGAGAAGTACATTGATCCAAAGACGGCTCCAGCGCACATTGCCGTCAAGGCGAGATTCTGGGGCTGCCGACGGATCCTTCAACCTTTTAAGCCACACTCACACCCCTCTTGTGGTTTGACACGAGCATGGGAATGGCTGCTAGCTATCGATAGCCAATGATCCATTTCACGGGTTCATTTCTTGACGCTGCGCTGCTGACAGGAGAGCCAGACATGCGCTTACTGCAATTCGGGGCACGCACCCGTGCCCTCTCCACATTGGGACCTGGTACTGGGAGGTTCCAATTTTGGATTTGACCATCTCCAAAGTTCCCAAGTTTGAGAAAGGTTTCGGGTGGAAGCCTGGCCAGGCTGGCGAACCCATGCCTTCAAAGCAGGAGTGGATCAAGAAGCTGCTGGCAAAGCCTGGGGACAAGGACGACCAAGTCATACCAAGTCTCTTGTGAACATTCTGAGTGAAGCTTATTTTCTTTGCGATGAGTGTTATGATGACCTCAGCATGGAGTTTTCAGGTTTAGGAAAATTCGATCATATTGTGCCGCTATATAGCCGAGTTCTAAGTACAGCCAGTGTTCCTTATTTAGCAAGTTAGCTATTTGTCGGCGCCGTTGGCCCTAACGCGGGCAATTGCGGCAAGAGACTTGAGCAATCGGCTTGGCCGTGCAGTGTGATGAGCTCCTCGATCCTCACCATGGGTACAGCATCGCAAAGCGAACCCGCTTGTGAAGCCCTTGTCAAGGGCCCGTTTTAGCCACGAGGGAAGGGAGACTATCATTGGCCAATTTGCAGTGTTTCGCAGCGGTTTGCTCTCTTTGTGTATGGGATTGGTGAGGCGACCATGCTGTGGCACTTGAACCAGCAGCTGGTTCCAGACGAGGCAATGGTTGCTCATCGGTGGCTCAAATTCAGCAACACTGGGTCGATATTGTCAGATTGGGTTCTTGCCCGGAGACTCGGAGACTCGAGGGCAGGGGTCTTTCGGGCGAGGATTCGGGCCGGGAGGATTCGCGAGCAAACGCGTGCGCCAGTTGGGCGACCCCTTGCAGATCTCTGTGACCGCAAAGGAAGCTCAGCTGCAGCCCCTCACCTCGAAGCACGAGGCGGGCTTGCAGCTCAGCTTGTCCGTGTGCGATGTGTTTGATGTTTGGAGAGGATGGAGCTCTCCAATGCTCCGTTTTGGTGTCTCTTTACGGCCTCACAGACAGAGAGGGACCCCAAATTTGGAGAGAGAGGCCCATTCCGTGTCAAAGCGCAGCAGGTGGTGGTGGTGGCCAACGTGGGACAAGGCTCTGTGGAGTCATTCCGGGCCTGGGCCTCAATCCAGGCACAGGCTTGGGACAAGCTCTGGGACTTGATCTGCATTGCTCTCGCAAGTCTCACGCTGTGTGTTTGTTTGTGTGACTTCTGTGCCTCAATACTCAACAGCTGCAAGCAGTCCTTTGATGTCTTTCGCATGTTTTATAAGCTCCCCTCCAACCGCCTATATAGAGGAGCAGATGTCCGTCCTTGACGGCTGATTCCCGCTTTGCTTCCACCAAGGCGTCAGTTCAGAAGCTCATCCTTCGAAAGGAGGCGCAGAGCCATGACTTCCAAGAACAGCCGCAACAGCAAGCCCACGGGATTCCGGTGTTGAAAAATATGTTGCGCTGTTGCCTGGTGTCATGGGATGCAATATGCTCTGGCCCAGTGAGACCAGAAACTGGGCGGCTTGATCTGACACAGCGTTTCTGCCGTTTGATCTTCGAACAGGCCGCTGGACAGGACCCCTCTCATATGTTTTGGGCCACATGTTTTGCATCATCCTGTTACTGACGGTTTCCTGCGCTCCCTGGCCATGGATGGCTATGCGCCTCGTAGGTGCCGGAGCAAGTCCCGGTTGCCACTCCTAAGAACTCCGCCTCAAAGCGGGGTGCTCAGCGTTGGAGAATCGAATATGTATATGGTCAAATCATGTTGACAAGTTGACTTTTTGCTGTAAAACAAGATGGTTCCCGAGATAGTGTTATAGATTAGAACGAAATAGCGTTGTAGAAAACCACGCAAAACAAGATGAAGCGAAAAGCCGGAAATGATCAGTTTCATCATATTTTGACCGCATCCTATGGCCCTAATAAGATATCAAATCCCAGTATCGGGTCAATCTGGACACTTCGATCCTTGGCATGAATGTCGGCTCAGATCGACTTTGTGCGGCACATGTTCCACGTAGGACCAGAAACATAGCTCTCAACACAAACCTGTTCCACCAGCTACCATACCCTGGACACCATACCCAAAAGTGACAAATACATCCATCGAACCTTTAATCATTTTTGATGTGCATGATGAAGTTCGATATCGAAAAATGAAACCTTCTCCACCACGATCCACTAGCGGCTGATCCAAATGGGTCTAGCCTTCAGCCATGATGATGAGTCTGAGGGTGTCAGCTTCCACCAACCGTTGCCAGAGGTTGTGGTTGTGAGCCGAAGGACCTTCCTTTCCCATCTCCGAAACCGTTCTTTCGACAGTTGGGAAGAGCTGGTAGATGCTTTACCCGATACTGCACCGCAAGGCAGCAGCGAAACCGTTGTGAAATGCGATCCTGTGGACATTTGTACCTGGGTTGCGACTTTCTTAATCCAGTCCTGCATGTGGGGCCTTGTGGTCTACTTTGCGGACCAAAGCATGGTCCTGGGAGCGTTCTTCTCCGCCGTCTACACGGTGGTTTTATGGCTCTGCGTCGATCAATTGCTTCCCCGAAACATGGCTGGCAAGCTTTGGCCCAACCTCCCAGTGGCAGTTGGAGCCACTGGGACTCTGTTCTTGTTGTGTCTGCAACAGGATGAAGAGAATGAGATATCCCCGCTTGGAGTCATGTGTTGTTGCATCTTGCCTGCAACCATCGCGACCTTGTTTTGGATGAGAAAGCTTCCTGAAGATCCTGACCGTGCAACGCTGGTCACCAACCTCTTTCTTGAGATTTGGGCAGCCACAATTGCACTTCGCATGATGATCACGGGAGAAGAGAGCCTTTCAGTAGCATCATATTCTGACTTCGCCAGTCTGACATGCATTGGAACCATTTGGGTGATCATCTCCGTCCTTTTGTACCAGTACCCAAGCGCTTGGGCATCAGTGGAACTGGTGACCTGGACTTTGAACGTTGGGGTGCTGGGTGTCGGAGCTGGCACTGCAGGACCGGAACACCATGGATGGCATGGCTTATTGTTTAATGTTGGAACATGTGGAAACATGTACTGTGTAGGCAATGCTTGGCCAACATGGCGTATATGCCATTTTGGCTCAAGCATTGCCTTGGGTTTGTTGAACCCTCTGTAGTTTAACAACACCCATTGCAATGGCCTCTTCGGTGTCTACCGTGTCTTCGTTCGAGTTGGTGGAGGAGCAGCAGGTCACGGAGGCGGATGTGGCGATGGCCACCCAGGAGGCGCAGGAAATGCGCGACCGGGAGGCAGCAGTGGCCGCAGGCTTGGTGTTGGCGGAACCTTCCACCCCCCCGGAGGGCACGGCAGCGGACGTGGTGGATAGCCTCTCCAAGGCCCTGGAGCACCTGCAGTTTATGCTCGACCGCCCCGAGTCCGGCAAGGGTGCCTCCGGCCCCGCGGACGAGGGTGTCGTGGATATGGGCGATGCGGTAATTACCCAGCGACGAAGCCCCGCAGGCCAAGAAGATGAAAGGATTTGTGGCGGCCTCGAAACCCAGTCACGCGGTGGAGAACAAGCTAGTCACCCTCGAACCGGTGGTGAGCAAGGCTGGTTACTTCAAGGTGGTGGACCTCCCGGACGCCTTCCCGCTGCTGCCGGCTTCAGCCGCGGCTTTGCTGCGGGACACAACGGTGCTGGAAATGGGGGCCCTCTTCCACAAATTTGTCGGCAAGGGCCTCACGGAGGACTTGGTTCTCCGCATCTTGGAGGCCTATGTCCCGATGAAGATCCAGCTCCGGCAGGAGGAGGTGCGGCGCTCGCAGTTCCAGCAAAACAAGGTGGGGATTGGCGCCCAGCGCATGCAGACCGGCACTGGGTGGCCGGAGGCGGCCAAGCAGTGTTGGGTTTGCCCGGGCTTGGAGTCCGTTCCATACCAGGGGCCTTCGGCCACCTACGAGTCCGAGGGCATCACCTACCACTTGCGGATCTTGGACGGCAAGCCGGTCTGGTTCCAGCAGCAGGACGGGGGAAGCCAGGGTGCCGGCGGATCCCAGAAGTCTAGGCTTTGATCGGGGCAAGCCACACATAGTGTAGGGCCCCTTCAGTGAGGCGTCTATCCAACGCCTCGTCTCCACTCAAGGGCAACATTCTGGGCTCGCTCATGCTCGTGCTGAGGCTGATCTACTTGTGACACATGTGCAGAAGAGGCTTGACCGCTTCCGGCTGGGGTTGAAACGTGAAACTGCAAAGGCGAGGTCTTAGATCTCAACCTCCTGCTTGGCTTGACACTAGGTATTGCCACTTGCAAGTTGGCAGTGCTTGGCACTGCAACTGTCTGCGCTGTTCCTGCTGGTGGCCCCTTGCAAACCGTCTTGGGCAAGTTGTTGCAACGGTACCGCCAGGACCACGTCCTCCTGCAGGTTGTGCATGTCAGGTTGTTTTCCTACCTTTCGATTCCAGTGTAAGGAGTGTCCCCCTTTATTGTAATGCTGGAGGTCACGCTCCAGCTGATCGAGCCGGGACTCTGCTCGAGCATAGCCTTCTTGTCTGAGCCAGCGCTCCTTCGGTAGGGCAGCCTGCCGACACTGTTTGCTTGTTATTTTGAGGCGCACATGTTTGAGTCTTTGGACATAAAGACCACATTTGCAGCACCACACACCGGGCTGCTCTGGTCTTGGGCCTATCACGTGGCCGTTCTCCTCGTACTGGTCGGAAGAACCAACCGCGGGGTTGCTTTGCATGGCCACCTGAACAGCATTGCTGATGCTTTGCTTATAGCTGCGGATGTACCGCTGCCATATCTGTACGAGTGTTCGCTGTATGGCCTGGATATGCTGTAAAGGGATTGCGTATCCCGCCGGCACTATGGTGGCATAGCGCGTGCATGCTGGGAGAACATCTCCATTGTGTCCCAGAAGCTGAAACAAGGGCTGGTGCAAAGGGCAGCACCAAGAGAGGTGCAGCACAGTGGGCGAAGCTCCACACGGGCATTTTGGCATTTCCTTCTGCTTACGATGCCTGGCGTTAGATTCATCGGTGAGCAAGCCACCTGCCAAAAGGCGACGCAAGACTCCCATGACCATTATACTGTGGGCTCGTCGAATTGCTCTTGGACCTGCCGATCCCACTGTTTATACAGTGCCATGGTTGCAGTATAATCACAACCCACAATCAAGTCAGCGAAGTGTTGAGGACGGTCCCGCGCCGCGCGCGACACCAGTTCATGCCTCCAGCGCACACGCAAGTCATGGGCCCACTGCTCGGGTACTATGTCATCGAGAAAGAGAGCCCTGACTGATTCACCAAAAATGCCCTGTTCAACCAGAAGTTTCAAGCGCAAAGTAGGACCCTCGACGGCAGCATGAGCCATTTCGTGGAATCTTTTGCGCAGCTGGCACTTAAAGGAATCCTGCTGCATACAGCGCAGAATTGTCCTCAAGCCTTGATACTGGCCCAAAAAAGGGGTCAAAGGTGCGGCGGCGCAAGTAGGGCAAAGGTGATGTTGGGATTCATACTATAAGAATTGGTAGACCACAAACATCTCTATTGGACCTGATTTTCTTAAGCGCTGCCAAGTCTGCCTGACTGCTATGCGTGCCCTGGCCGTAGGTGGCCTGGGCCTGCGTGGCGAGCAACATACGAGCTTTCTGGCGCCAAGGGTGGGGCGCGTACCTCATGGTGGCAACGGTCGCTGCCCAGGTCTGCATTCTGGCCTGTTCTACACCACTAGGAACCACCCACAAGCTTAAAGGCATGCATATGCCCATAGTGTGCGTCAAGTTTGCCCCGTATGCTGTCATCACCAAAAGTGTGTGACTTTGTGAGCGAGATTTCGCCAAATCCGGTGGATTCAAGGGCACACACAATCTGGTGAAAGCGATTGATCTGGTGGGTCAATTGATGCGGCGAGTCCGCAACAGAAGCGGCACTGATATCGTCAGCGTATGCTCTGCCCACGATCGATGGGCAGGCCACGACATTGACTTCCAAAACTACGCCTACCAGGCTGTTAAGGCCTATCATACTCAGAGGACACCCCTGGATCAGGCCATTTGCTGCTGTCCACCAGGAACTGCACGCTCCGCGGAGCTTAAACACCTTCCACAAGTCGCGATATAACGCTTGCATGGGAAGTAAGAGTCTCTTATGGCACCCTCTGCGTAAAGTGGCTGTCCGCGCTCCGGGGATTTGAGGCGGTCTACACCAAACTGGTGGCGGGCTTGAGCAAGACCTCCATGGTGGAGGCCAAGGTGAACTGGAGGTGCAATGTGCTGCACGATTGGGTTGAGGAGGTCCCTAAGGAGGCGGCGGGGGCCCTGTACGACAAGCTGGGCTATTCCCACGACCACATCGTGAAGCGGACCCGAAGGCCAAGATCATGGCGGGCGCGGACACCACGCTGAGGTCCACGGACCGGTGACGGCAGTGGCGGGGACGAACTACATAAAGTCTGTGCCCAGGTCCCCTAGCCGGCGATGAGGGAGACAAGGTCCGCACCATCTATGATGGATCGGTGGGGGGGGGGCCAATGACATTGTCCGGAACCAGACGGTGGAGCGCACAACGGCCCCCACAGTGCTGGATGGAGTCCAAGCTGAAGAGGGGCCCCCATCCCAGGGTGCCTCGGGATGGGGGACCACGAGCCTCAGCCACGGGGGTGGCGGTTACTCAAGGCGGACGTCAGCAAGGCAGTGAAGGTTCTCCGGAAGGACTGGCGTTTCCAGGTTGCCTCTCTGGTGGGTGAACAAGGTTGGTACCTACGGCATGGCCAGCCCTTCTACTCAGAATCTCGTACTCGCTCTTCCCTCAAGTGGACTGGAACTTCGCGTTTGTGGATGACTTCCTATGGCTGCTACGCATCAAAGGGGCCGTAAACTTGGCGGCGGCAGTGCTGGCTACGCTGTTGGCACTTGGCACACCGCTAAGTTGGAAGAAGACGCACCTGGCGGAGGTCAACACGTGGTTGGGCTTTGTGGTCCATCCCAACCTCCCACAGGTTCTCATGGCAGCCAAAAAACACATCCTGGTGATGGAGGTCCTGCAGATCATGGTTGAAGGCCAGGCGATGCACGCAAAAGGCCTTGGTTCGCATCCAGTGGGCGACTTCGGCCTGTCCTCTGGCTAAGTCCATGCTCCAACCGCTCTGGGCGTGGAAGATGGCTACCACCACGGTGGGGAAGCCACCCAAGGTGGTGAGGATGCTGGCCTTCATGCTGCGCCTCCTCTTCAACACGCCCTTCGTTCAGTACTCCCCATATCTGCCAAAGTCGTCCTGGTGGGGGTGCAGTGATGCGAGCGCCTCAGACCAAGGACTGGCATTTGTGGGGGGATGGTGCTCCAATCTTCTGGTTCCACGAGCAGATCCACCAGGAAGAGTACCTCTAGGCATTCAAGGATGGGGATCCCAAGCGGCGAATTGCGGCACTGGAGATGCTAGGCACGCTCTTCCTCTGCAACATGATCCTCACGCATCAGGGCCCCTTGGCCTCCAAGGGTGAGACTCCCGGTAGGCAGTGACAACCAGGGCAACGTGATGGCAATGCTCAACCTTGGATCCAAGAAGCCCTACACCGCGGCTATCCTGAACTCCTGCTACACAGGCATGGATGCTCTCTGGCAGTCAATCATGTGCCTCGTGAATTCAATATGTGGGCGGACGAACTAACCCACCCTGATTTTGCAGGATTTTATCAGTCGCACAGGGTTCCGAAACCGGAACTGTGTGAAGATTTTACCTTTCTTCTGCGTCTCCTAAATGGAGACACGTTTGACCTTAGCGCGGACCCACCCAAGCTCCGGAGCCGGCGGGTGACTCACTTCCCTTAGGTGGCAGACTCCCTGAGGCTGGGTGCCTCCGGCCCCGGCCGAAGGGGGGCGCAATCAGTCTGCACACCGGTTATTTTCCTGTCCAGGATTTTTGAAGTGGGTGGCACGGAGGACCACCCAACCTGAAACTCATGAAAGGGAAGATGAGTCCCTGGCGCCAACACAATGCTTGGATAAAAGAGTTATTGCCTGCTTGTGTTGTGCCGTTTGGTCAGCTTGCATACACAAGGTTGCAATCTGCAGTTGGCCAACTCAACAAAGTCTCATTGTTTCATATCGGTTCTGCTTTCAGGATTCAGGAAAAGGTTTGGGGTTGTCGGGGCTGAGTTTTTTGGACTCAGATGTCAGCCACCAGGCCTGCTGGCCACCTTCGCGATTCAACATCATCACTGGGAGCTGATGGGTTGGGTTCCTTTCTCCATCATCAATGCGGCGACTGGCTTCCTGGGCTTCAAGATGCAGCGCAGCTTCCCCGTGTTGCTGAGTGCCTTGGCCCTGGCCGCCGTGTCCATGCGCGCCAGTGTGTTCATCTCTGACGTAACGGGCAACGCTGTGGCAGGCACGGGAGTCTGATGGTTCAGTCGGTGATAGTCGCCTTTGATTGAAGATCCGACTTGTTATGCCCAACATATGTGGCTGTGTCTCAAAACGGTTGACACCCATAAAGTGGGATGGTTAAATCGATGGTTGGATTGGCTCACTCGCAAGGGATGGTTGAATACTAGACATGATCGGTCATTTGTGGGTACAGACAGGCACCCCGGTGCCTTGAGCTATAGCCATGTGGCATGCATCGAAGTGAAGTACCTGGTGTGATGCCACATCACCTCTGCAGATTCCATTCTGTGGATATATCTGAGAATGGGATCACCCTAACTTTGATTCTTTGATTACAGTCTGCATAGGACGCTGTGTTTTTGAGGGACACGCCGGTGTAAAACAGACAAAGCCCCCCAGAAAATCCCAAGCAGGTGTTCCATCCACCCGCTGCGCCAGGCGTTTGCACCTTTGGCCTGCTGGGCTTTGCCGTGATCGCAGCGGCGCGGGCATTCGACAGGTCCTCCCAGGGCTTCACCGCCAAGGGTCGACAAGTGGAGTGACCTGGCCGCCGCGTGGATTTTTGGGGGTGCCACCCATGGCAAATGTCACGATGTTTTTCGTCCCTTGACTCATTGGGTGGTTGGTTGATGTTTGAAGACTTGATGAAACCACAAAAAACCATTGTTTGTTGAAGGTTGTTTGATGGGTTGGATCTGATGTTGATGTTTGACGATTTCGATCTTCGGTTTCTCTGCACCTTCGCTTGGTTCTCCCTTTATGGAGCTGGCTTGGCTCCGGGACTCCAGTGTCACTTGGGTACCAAGTTTTCCTGCTGATGTCAGAAGTAGAAACCAATGCTTCTATTTTTGGCTTTGCATGAATATCATTTTGCATTGCAACCTTTCTTTGCACAACAAAAAACCTGTTCCACCACACATGAGCTTGTCTTGGCGGCAGAACCGGCGTTCCACCGAGGCAAACTAGACAGCAGACTGGAGCATAGTCGTGTGGGATCTCGTGTACAGTCGAAGATCCTGCACGCAAGACAGTACCCTCAACTAACTCGCATGGGACATTAGTTCCGCTTCCGCCAGGGAGTGTGAAAGTTTGTGCCTCGGCACAAATCAGAGTTTCAACTGATCAATGTGATGATTACTAACACTACAAGTGAATATAACTGAGTGTGTTTTACATAACACACATATATACACGAACATGTATTAAATGTATAAATGCTTCATGATACTTCATGCCTCATGCCCAGCTTGTTGCCAGCCTTTCACCGGCAAGACTGCCAGAGGAAAAGAGCTGCAGGGCCTCAAGTCGCCGCTATTGCGCGGAAAAGAGTTGAGTAGAAGGGCGGAGGTTGGCTTACTGGGCATGAGTCAAATTTGGTCCCAACATGAATTGCTCAATGGAATCACGCTTGAAGCGTAGAACGCCCAAAGTGCTCCAAAACGAGATGGTTCCCCTTGATTTGCTTTGTTTTGGAAAGCGAGTGCAGGCGAGACCAAACCAATTCTGGCATTGCGAAAAACTCGGTAGGAAGTCAGCTGCTATGAGTAAATTTGAATTGAGCAGCCGCTACTATTGACTAGGGGGCACGAAGGACCATGGACGATGACATTCCCACAGCCACTCTTGCTACGGCTTTGAACGGATGGACAGCTCCCCTCTCAGCGAATCGAAGAAGGGGTTCCACTTCGGTTTGTACAAGGATTCTGGTGAAGCACCTGTGTTTTGTAAGCAAAGATGAGTCATATGTCTCTTTTGGGAGACGCAACTATTATAGCGATCCCATCGCTGCTCAACTGCATCCATTGTTCAAAGGCGAGTTGCAAGCTGGTTCTGTGCTGATACGCAACTGAAACATGGGATTGAACCTAACGTGTGCTGACAATATCTACTCTAGATAATCTCAGATATAACGGAAAGCAACCAAGGGCCTGAGCTGCTTCGATGCATAGCTGACAATCCCACTAACATGGGTAATGGGGGCTCATGTTGATCTTGGAAGCTTCGTGGTTGGTTCCACCCAGTTGCACAGTGGCGCCCATTTTTCTTCTTTTTTTTGGAAGGGTTCCCCTTTAAACTCGTCCAACCAAAAAAAGTCGCGCGGGTTTTTTCCCGTGGCCACTGGGCATCTGAGTCCATGTCACTACCCGTGATATCTTCCAACAGCTCGAGACGCCCAGGAAGGCGTTGAAGAAGCTTCAGCAAGCGCGGCAACGTGCGCGCGTTCTCTTCGTGGCTGTGACCAGTGCGCCTGCCTGAGATCTGAGAGGGTTGCCTTGGAACCCCGTGCTGGTGCAATGTTGGAGAAAGACGCCAACGTCTTTTTGGCGGTTTGACGATATTTGGCGGGTCCCAAGATGCTCATATTTTCATACAACCTGAGTGTTTGAGGTGATAAGCCCTTTCCAGAAGGGCTTTAGACAAGTGAGACAGCTTATTAGGAGGGTATCAGGATTCATAAGCACGACCAGCTAGGAGCCTTGATGGCACTTTTGGGCATTGCTTTCTGGAGGTCCAACGTTGTGATTGCCAGGCTTCCCAGAAGCTTGGATACAGGCTTCATGTGTGCACATGTGTGGTTCGCATCCGGGGGGAGGCCAACGCTTTCTGATTTATTTGTTGCAGGTGCTTGTTCTTATTGCCGGGATGATCATTTTTCGGCTAACAGCTGGGGGCTTGCAATTTGCATGTAAAGACCTGACATGCTGCCGGCAAGCCCGTGGAGATTTGTGTTGTTGTCTCCTTCAAGCAACCTAGTTGTCCATTCAAATTGACTAAACTCTTGCTGAGGCAGCAGACATACCACGTGGAAAGGCGGGCGACCTTAGCTGACATCAACATCACAAGGGCTTCTCCAGGGACACAGGGTGCCTGAGATGGAGCTTTTTCGAGAAGACGGCTTGCCCTTTCAGGATTGTTAGTGCCATGCTTGGGAAGGCTCTGAAGACGTTGTTTTGTGAATGCATTGTGCGCACATGGCGGGTCACTCGTTGCCCATCATTCTCATGCGGAGTGGCGTATGCACCTGTGCTTGGCAGCTTGGCGCTCGTGCCGAGGTAGCGGCATTCGTCCGTGGGCAGATCCAGTGATCCTGGCTAGTTTGAAGTCCAGAACCGCTGCAATGCAGCGCATGACCTGGGCTTCCCTCCTCAATTATGTCGCTATCTTCCACATGAATTTCTCCACCGAGCACCCCAGAGCTGTTTATAGGTCATTGGCCCAAAGTTGCAGGCCGCCGAGAGACCTACAGACTGCCAGAGCCTTAAATGTTCTCGAAGCAATTGCAGTGGTTCGCCATTGTTAAGATGGGTATCAAAGCGGGAATTTGTTAAGTGGTGTCTGATCAAAACGAGCCAAAAGAGGAAACCCTGGCGTTGGCACGCAACTAGATGTTTGGATTTGTGTCACCCCGCCTCTCGCAGGAATGGGATGGACCCAGCAACATGGATGCGATCAAGGAGCGTCGCTGTCAAGTGAGAAGCTCTGATGGAGCTGTGTGTTTCTACCCACCGTTGTTCAAAGCTTGAATCAAAAGAAACACATTTCTTCGCCTTGCAGGAGGTCGCGCTAGTAGCAGTCAGTGCAGTGTCTACCGGCAAGGCTCCGGAGACCAATTGCTTCATGAGAGTTTGCCGTGTGCCACAGCATGGCAAGAAAACAAAGGGTCCAGAGTTCAATGCGTTCCCAGCAACCATTGCTCCGAGCTTCTTACGCTTTGTCACAGCCATGTCTTTGCGCCAGCACTGAAAGATTGTATTATTCATCCTGATAAGCGACGCTGCTCCGGACTGCCTTTGCAAACATCAAGCCCTGCTTGATAGTTCTCTCTCAGTTCGAGCACAAGCAAGGCGGGCACGATTGTAATCATTCCAAGGCAATCCTTCACGGGCTTAAGATCCCCAAGGCAATAGCAACCGAGAATCATATGACCAAGGTTGAGAAGATTGCAACGGACATTACCAGTGCTTGCACGCCTGAAGCACTTGTTTCGGACAGACCATTTCCTCAGGCAGAGACTCGAAGTGCAGATTGAAACTGGGTTGTGGATGAATACAGACATTGTGGTTTGCGCAGAATTGCGCATTCACCCTGGCATCTGTTTTGAATTCTGAAAAGCGAGCGTCTTTGCGCTGAATTGATTTTTTTGAGTTTCCCGGACAAGCGTGGCCAGCTCTCCTCCAACCAAGCAAAGTGCAGCAATGGACAGAGTAGGGATTGCACCCACGCCCATCCGCATGCGAAGGTGGTGCGATACCATTACACCGTGTGCCCCTGCTATTCCTTTCATGCCCACAAAACTGGCTGGCAAAGCTTCCTAGCGCAGTTGCTTCGAGCATGCCTCCTCCGTTCAAGTGATAGCAACGGTGAGACAAGGCATTAGACGTCAAACACTGGTATTTTTGTCCATCCACTAGCATCACATGATGATGCTGCTGGTGCTGATGACGAGGAGGATGACGACAACGCCAATTGATTTCTCAAATTGAGCTGCTCCAAAACTATGCTGCCGATGCGAGCTGCCGCTCTGCGCGTGACCCCAAATGAAGCAACATGTAAGTTTGAATGCATGGCCGGTTGCGTCTTTACACGAATGCAACTTGAAAGCAATGGACTTGGTGCTTGGCAGGAGAATACCAAGGGAGAGGAACTCACTGCCATGCAATTAGCACAACGTCCATGTCACATGTCAAGTGGCCGCCAGCCAGGCGCCGAACGGCAAGATTTCGGAGCTGTGACGCTTCAGCCACTCAATAACTTGATGGTCGCAGTTTGTTTGGGTGTCATTTGTTGTGCAGTTGTGCTCGTGTCAGCATTCTACTGTCCAGCCGCAAGCTCCGTTCAGCACTGCGTGCTGGCTTGCGTAAGGATGTGTAAGGCATGGCAGTGGTTTTGAGAGCCGTTGCTCATGCGGAAGAGACTGACGCAGCTGACAAAGCATTCTGCAGCTGCAGTCACTGGCCACGCACGCCTGGAAAAGCGCTTGAGTAGGTTGCTGCCTTGACTTTGTGCCGCTGGATGCCCTTTCTCAGGGTTGGAGCTTAGGGTTAGCTTCCCATTTGAATATCCCCAAACCAATCAAAACCACCGAAGGTGGCGCAAGCTCCTCGCAGGCCGCTGACTGGGGCCGGTTCACCCATTGGACGTCAAACTGCCGTGCTGAAGGCGGGAGCCAAAGGGCCCGTGGCTTCTGGGCATGGCGGCTTTGGGACCGGGCTTCCAGAAAGAGACAAGACACACATGTGATATTCGTATGTTCAATGAGGTAGCTGAAGACTGCCTAAAGCGTCCCCTACTTTGGTCAGCCGGTGTTTCACATGCTCTCAGCACTCAACACCCCAAGAAAGAATCTGAACTTGGCTTATGCATTGTGGCTTTCGAGAAGCGGGGATGGCGCACCAGATGGTGTATGTATAGAAACCCCCACAGATTTCAATTGGTCTCTTTGATTCTGCTCGCTTCAACCACCCGACAGAATTTGGGATCCTCCATTTTCAAACACCCGTATTCAGGGCACGGACATGTGGCACATGCATCACTGACCATTCTTGTCTTGCAGGTACCGCCCTCACCCGGCTTTTCCAGCTACGCCTGCTTAGGCCTCGGGGCAGAGCCAGGGGGCGGGGGGGGATTCCTCAAATAGTGCAAGTGAGCCGGCCTGAGCCAGAAGCCATCCAAACTCCAAACGGCACTTCAGGATTGCAATTGCCATACAGTACAGCCATTGGCGGAATGAGGCACAATGTCCAGGATTTGGGTTGCAAACCCATACTCAGATTGTCCGAGAATGTCTGATTGGTTTTCTCCCTCCTTGGGACAACTTGGGCCCATCACGCCACAATCGGCATTTGTTTTGCCTCCATGAGTCTAGTGATGCAACGACAAACGCGCTAGCATTCGTGCTCACGGTGCGGCATGCAGACACCGCCTGGCAATCCCATACCAATCCCAAATATCATGTCAATTGTGCCAAAAATGAGCCCTCCCTTCCGCTGCTGTTCCTTTGCGGATTCAGCATCATGTCATCAACTATCCAACAGAGGGCTCCACCCCACTTCATTTGTTGCATCGCGGGCGGGCGACAGCTCGACAGTGCGACAGGCCTGCCGCGGTTCCCTCACCAAACAACGCCTGCAAGGCCAAGCGCTCATGCTGACACGCGCGTCGTTTCTTGTGTCCAGAGAGCAAAGGTCTGACTCTGTGTGTGCAGGCCATCTTTAATGACGCGTGCGGCCGCATGCACGCAGCCCTTCGCCCCCAAGGACTCGCGAGCGCTAAGCAACCGGAATCTGGCTTATTGTTGCTATTGTCGCGGTTGTCGTGGTGGCCGTGGTCGTTGCGATTGTGGTTGTTGTTTGCTGGCTGGCTGGCTGGCTGGCTGGCTGGCTTGCTTGCTTGATTGCTTGTGATTGTTGTTTGTGTTTGTGTGTTTGTCGTTGTCGTCGTCGTGGTTGTGGCTGTTGTTGTTTCTGCTGCTGCTGCTGCTGCTGCTGCTGCTGCTGTTGTTGCTGTTGCTGTTGCCGTTGCTGTTTCTGTTGCTGTTGCTGTTGCTGTTGCTCGTGCTGTTGCTGCTGCTGCTGATGTTGCTGTTGCTGCTGTGGTTGTCGTTGTCGTTGTGGTTGTCGTTGTGGTTGTCGTTGTGGTTGGCGTTGTGGTTGTCGTTATGGTTGTCGTTATGGTTGTCGTTGTGGTTGTCGTGGTTGTTGTTGTGGTGGTTGTGGTTGTTGTGGTTGTTGTGTTTGTTGTGTTTGTTGTGGTTTTTGTGTTTGTGATGGTTGTTGTGGTTGTTGTGGTTGTTGTGGTGGTGGTTGTTGGTGGAGGTGTTGCCTGTTGCTGTTGCTGTTGCTGTTTCTGTGTTGCTGCTGCTGTTGCTGCAGTGGTGGTGGCGGCGGTGGCGGTGGTGGTGTTCTTGTTCGATTTGTGTTCTTGTTCTTGATGACGTTGTTGCTGTTGCTGATGATGATGCCGCCTCTGCTGTTGTTGGTGTTGTAGAGGTGGTTGGTGAGGTGGTTGGTGAGTTGGTTGGTGAGTTGGTTGGTCGGTCAGTTGGTTGGGTGGGTTGGCGGGTGGTCGTTGGTTGGTTGATTTTGGCATTTGTGTTGGTGTTGGTGTTCGGTGTTTGCGGAGTTGGTTGTTTGGTTGGGTTGGTTGCTTGGTTGGTCAGTCTGTCGGTTTATTGGTTGGTTGGTCGGTTGTTTGGTGGTGCTGTTTCTTGTTGCGGTTGTTGTGGCAGTTTGTCCTTTCTTGTGTGCTTGTCTAGCTGCATGCATGCGAGCGAGCAACACGTACATTAGCTTTCTTGGCTTCGCCGATGTTCGGGTGGCCTTTGTCAGTGTTTGGCCGTTTGTTTTATTTGTTTTGCACCGAGCAACAGATGTGCTGTTCTACGGCCAGGACACTCTTCCTTCAGAGCATGGCCTATTTGAGACCATGGAAGGCGTGGTTGTATGTGCGGTGTCGCATTTGCAGGCGGTACGACAGGTGGTGCTTCAGGATTGCGCGAATCTGTTTCAACAACTGCAACCTGGTTAACCAACACAACTGTTCGATCCAAACCCAATCTGGCGGGTTCTAAGGTGGCAACCGCTCGAGAGCCGCAGCCGAGATTTGCTTGACTCCCAGGTCTTTACACGGAACTCTGGCAGGCTGGCCATCCACGGTGCTTGACCCTAACTTACTCGAATCGATTCTGGCTGGCAGAGTTGCAGGTGGCCGAATGCGGCAACCCGGATTCCATGGTGATGTATGACAGGCGGTGTGCTTGCATGCTTGTCCGAGATCTCGGCAGCTTCAGATGGTTTGGCACGTTTTGAGTCTATGTTCTATGGAGCATGGTGCAATTGTGGCGTTGAACCGAGTCCTTGGGAGGTCGGAAGAGATTGACCTATCTCATGAGTTTCCACCGGAGCCAAGGGAAGCTCAAGTCGATCCGCAGGCCGGAGCTTACATTGGACTGGGTGTTCGAGAGACCCATCTTGGGTCTATTGGAATGGCCAGGGCAACGAGAGATATCTCGGTCTTGGGCTTTTGGCCTGCTCTTTTGGTTAGCTGAGTATGGGACGGCTTGTGCCGTTGTGAGGCGCAGGCCTACCTAGAAGCCCCAGATCAATCACCGGTTGGAGCGGGTGACGTTTAGGCGCCAAAAAAGGGGCCGACCCATGCAGGCGGCCCCGGACTTCGCTGGTCGCCTTCTGGAAAAACTCCCCTTTGAATTGGAAGCTCGTCATCGAAAAGCTTACCAGTGGTGTCTCATAGTGGAAGTTGCCCACTTGTTCGCATGGGAAGCATCCAGCTATCAAGTGTAAGGGGGAGCACCCTCAAATTGTTGGTGGACATACGGAAACCTCCCCAAGAAAAGAAAGCCAGCCACCCACCCGGCCACTCGGCGCTGTGGCCATCGGCGATTGCGGCGATTGCCAGGCCGCCTTTCATCGCCCCATTCGCCTGGATTTGGGGGACAGCATTCAGGCCGCACTCGTCCCGGACTGCGCAAGGTTTGGGGTCCACGGGTCAAAGTCGGTGGGAGATCGTCATGGATAATATCGCTTTTCTGTTAGGGACTCACTGACAATCATATTACTGGTCTACTATTGGTTTGCGGAGGATATGCTTTTCTTGGGAAACAAATAGTTTTGTTTGATGCTGAAATCATGACTTCATCAAACATGTGTATTGTGATTGTGTCATCTAACGTGGTGTTCCTATTTGCCGTGGATGCGTGCAGGGTTCAGCGACCCTTGCCGGTGCCCCCTCCGCAGGCCTGACAAGGAGCACGCAGGGACGTGCCCCCGTCGAATGAACGGAATGAGCGAAATAGCACGTTGGCTACCACCAAACACCTTTCATGCCTGGCCATTTTCAGTATACGGTACCCTTGTGACTAGTGCTGATATGTTGTGGGCGCGAACTGTGAGCACCGGCCCAACTTTGCCAACTCCTAGCAAGAAAGATCACCAACCTGGGCCAATTGAAGCCAAAACATCAAGGCAACAATGGAGTACACATGTTCAAAAACATGTCTGGCGTGGGACGTCCCTGAACCTCAGTCTGACAAATGATCATCTATTGAATTGTCGGCGTTGGGACTGTGTGCTGCGGCTTGGCTTCCAGTAGCGCAAAAGGTGTAGCCAATTGCCTGAAGCTCGGCTGTCTATAGCTCTTTTCAACTCGCCGTGATTGCAAAAGCAACGGCATGGAATTACACGGCCAACGTATTTGCAAGTCTTTGCGACTTTTCAAGCATCCTACAGGCCTCAGCCGTCAAAGTACGCGGATCAGAGGAGTCAGTAAAAGTGCCAGAACTTACATCGTGAGCAAGACCGTGGAACGTCACCCCCTGTTTTGCCGTTGCCGGTCGCCATATAGGAACCCAAAGACCGGGTACTGCATAGACTGCAAGACCCGGCACAGGTCAGCACAAAGTGGCTTGCACCGACAGACCTGTAACCGATAATGTGTTGAAAGAGTCGACCCTTTTGTTCGAGGTGCTGACAAAACCGACGGCGGCTCACAGCGGGACGGATATCCCATTTACCATAGAACCACGTCTTATGTGCTGGTCCAGATCTGGCTTGCCTACCAGTATAGGGAATATGTCCTTTGTATCGGGGCTGTCATGTTGTTGAGGCAGCTCTATGTCACGGACGTTCAGCTGAAAGCCAACAGCAATCCAGCCACTGTCCTTGGCTCAACAATTGTACATAAACCACAGTAAAACTTGACATGTGCACGTCTGCAAGAAATGCATGTACACATACATACATGCCTGTTCTTGGTGTGCATCATATGCCACGTACCTATCAAGCGGTGCTTTTGCATGCCGTGCAACCCCGAGCATACCAAGCACCTATCATGTACCTATAATACTCATGTACATACCACAAAACAAATCAATTGAAACCAGCCATCCTACCATAAACCATGGATGACGAGACATGCATATAGGTCTCCGTACATCACGAATCCGACTTCAGACCCATGGACCGACCTGGCTGGGAGCGCATGTTCGCCCAGCCTGGCGTCCCCGCACCGGACGCGTCCAGCACCTCCTCAGCCTCAGAGGACCAGGACATGGGAAGGTCCCATTTCCCAGTTGGGAGGGTTCCCAATTCTCACAGTGGCTGGATGGCACCATCCTCCCGTGTTATCCTTCCCGTGGTGCAAGGGGCCTGGTGTCCTTTGTTGAACCAATCGACATGCCAAACTTAATGACCTGAGATAGTCCACACAGTCTGACGAGTGGACGGTTTTGGGAAGGGAAACCATCCATGAAATGGAGCAATCATAGCGCGGAAGGGATGGTTTTGCGTACTGGTCCTGGTTGTTTGCGTGAATCCTGTAGATGATGCAAGAAAAAGAACAAGCGACTGACCAATCCTCTGACAATGGAATATGTATTGATACGGTCAGAGTAGAATACCTTGTCCCCCCAAAATTCAGAACAAGGCAGTATTGTAGAAACCCTGGAAAACGAGATATAAGCGACATCAAGACGAAGTCACCGCAGTGTGCTCAGCTGGGGCGCACAAAAGGCAACAAGTCAGAACGAGTCCAGACCGAGTCCGTAACGAGTATCACGGCTCGGCGAAGTGAGCCATTGAAAAGTGCACTGATACGGATCAAGTGTGGTTTTTGAGCTGGAACTGCCAAAGCGCACTTCGCGTACTCACTTGTACCGCAAGTTTGCGATTTCCGAGCTGGAGCTGCCAAACCGCATTTTGTGTACTGCACCTGTACTGAAAAGGTGGGATTTGCGAGCTTGAACGCAAAGCACTGCAAAACGAGATGATCCCCGCATAATGTGCTTTGATTTTGCCGTAGAACGAGTCTAAGCGAGTCCAAGACTTTAAGCAAATCTTGGCGTCGCGGAAGAGAAGAGAACTAGTCAGCTGCTCATATGGAGGTGGTTTTTGTAAATTAGCAAGGTTGCTCGTGTAGGCTGACTTGCTGCACGCCACGAGCGATGTTTAGTTTGGCTGCTCAAAAACCGGGAAAGCTCGGCGGTGCTGCGCCAAATGTGATTGGACGGACTTGTGATCTGCTGTATTCGCTTTGAGATTTACTTGTGGCACACATACTTGGTTCCCTATGGCTGAACACGTTCCGTAAGGCCAGAATTGCTGATTCGATATGAGATGCACCATGATGCTGTGTGCATTGCCCTGGGCGGCACGCAGGAGGAAGGAGAAGAGGAGGTGCCAGAAAGATACGAGGGCGACATGTTTGGCTCTGATGATGAGTACAAAGGGCGCGGGTCTTAAATTGCTTGGAGTAGAAATGAGCAAAGATCAATGCTCTGAAGGAGCGCTGAGGCGGAAGAGGGTTTAGTTGACATGACAGCTTTGTTGCTGATCCTTCTCAAAGCAGAAACAAGGACAGTCTCCGCGACAAACAGGCCCACTGCTTGCTTGAACTTTAAATGTTTGTATGAAAGTCAGAGCTTTGCAAAAACCGCTTTCGCACTTCATGCCAGATTGGATGCAGTCATGTCGCGTTCCAGCAACACGGGCCGATTGTCCCTCATGAAGGGTGTTGGAAGCCGCCATCCCTTTGAAGGACGTCCACAGAAATCGCCTTATCCACAGCTCAAAAGTGTGCGGCGCATGGTGCTGGAGGCCCTAAGTAGCCAGAAGGGCTCCGACCATGGTACATTCCACTACGATGATGGAAGGTTGTATTGGTCAACTCTAGGCACGAGTGCTGGTTGCCTCCCCATGGCACCTATCACAGGACATGATCCGCAAATTTCAGAAACAACCAAGCATTGCCTGGAGCTCGCTAGCAAGGGTCCAGGGGCCCAGTGAGCAACCTGCAAACGCCACATGGTCATGGCACCCTGCTTCGAATTACTTGCAGCTTGTGGCCTGCGTGCTTTCGAGCTCGCCAATGACAAATCACTGCGGTGTGGGGCAATGGTTTGCCTGTTGATGCGGGGTTCTTGGCACAGATTCATGACAACCCAGATATCTCATGCATGTGTGTCAAGAATCCTAGTTCTCAAGAAAGCGTTGGCTTGTGCACCTTGTGTGCGTCAAGCGCTCTAGGTGGTTGGATCAGATACCATCGCCAACGATGCCACAGGTATGGTGCTTAGCTGGCAGCGTGTAAGACCAGGTCCTGAATCATGCGTCGAAATACATGCAGCGGCCAATCGAATGTCTTCCCTTTGGCCAAGTGGTGTGACCTCACATCGTTGAGCTGGTTACCGGTTTTGTGATGGCCCATGTTTTGCGAGCGTGGCACCCGTCCCTTCAATCTGCTCTGAAGCTTTCGAAGCTGATTCCTTCCCGGCCCACTCCTCATGACCCCCAGGAAGCATCGTTTTTGTGTATAGCCTGTTCGGAATGCGGAGGGAATCTGAAATATGATCATCCTGAATCACGGCCTTTTCAAACTGCGGGAACTCAACGGCAGGTTGCCAGAAATGAAATTGGATTGATCCCCGGACTGGCTGACTCTCTACTTGCCGGGAAAGAGGAGGACAAACTCAAGAGAAGAAGTACGCACCGCAGTCATTTGTCAACATTGGGATATAATTGTCCATGTCTCCTAGGCGAGCATTCTGGCATGATGAGTGGCTTACCAAGTCGGATGACCTCCACTTTGCCCGTCTTTGCCTCCAAGACTTTCAGAGACCAAATAGAACAGCTCTCAGCCCCTCTTGTCCCCCAGAAGGGGGCTTTGTGGTCTGGAGCTCTTGAGCCGGTTCGGGGCCCAATCTCAATGACTGCCAGAAAGATCACCGGGGCCCGATATGGGTGGAAATGGATTGAAAGTCAAGCAACAAAACAGAAAGAAGCCCTGTCTATGCATAGCTTCTCAACAATATAAATCACACCTTGGTGCATCTTCCGACCGCCGATTGCTCATGGATGCAATCTGTGGCACTCCGCGGGTGGGTTGTGCACACACACACACACACACACTCGTACGAAAATTACAAATATAGTTGCGCTGAAGAAAGGCCCTCATGTGCCAACAGTCTCCAGTCAGAAGATGGCAGAACCATGAAGAAGTTATGGCATCCTTTCCTGTCAGATCCATACGCCCATCGCCAGGCATTTGGAGGCCGCACGAGTGTGGCGAGTCCGTTTAGCGCAGGCCGTGGGCATGACGGCATCGACGACATCATTTGCGCAAACGGTAGTGGGGAGAAGCTTGAAAATCGCAGCGAAAGCATTGTGTGTCAGAATTTAGCACTGAGCACACAACATTGTTTAATTTGTTTGCTTAAAATGCTGAAAGCAAGGTTCAAGTGGCTGGTACTTTGCGTCAGTTTGTTCTGTTCAACAAATTAGGTACAGCACCTCAGGATATTGCAGGATTTCCTTCATCCACGCAATGCCAGCAGGTATGTTTCATTCCGGAAGCGCTAGATGCTGAGTCGCTGTGGGAAAGCCTAGCGAATCCCTTCACTAAGAATCGACTCCCATTGCCGCTACACGCGTCGCGTCCGTGGCCGGGCTGCCGCCTTTTGTGCGGTTCAGTTCTGAAGCTTTGGGGCATGGTGGCACTGCCATGGGTTCAATTTGGCCCAGAGTCCCAAGAGGGTGACTTCCTAAGAGCCTTTCCGTTTTTTGGCACATATTCGGGAAGGGAGGTTGAAGAAAATTGAAATGGCAGATTGATGATAGTCGCAGACAACGTTTGCCCACAAAGGAGTTGCGTGGCTGGGGCATGTCTACTTGGATAGTCTTATTACTTTTGAGCTGAACTTAGACCTGAAACGCCTTGTATTGCTTGCAGCCAATCAAATACGTATCCAGCAGTTTTTAACACAACACCCACCAGGTCATGAGTATCATCATCGTTTGATGAGTGTGATTGCTCAGAGAAATTGGTTGCAAGGCAAGTCCAAGGGTTTGTTCTGCCCCTGTGCCCATTGCCAGGGCCGCCCAGAAATTGCCTCGGCTTTTGGGAGCGGAATCATCAGGCGGGGGCAGAAGCTGTGAGAGTCATCCCATCCGAAGGATCGGTGTCCTTGCACAGAGGAAGTTCGACGTCCACGTTCTGTTTGGTTGCAATCGATTTTGGGCGTCCAAGAGTTCTTTCTGATGCACGTGCTGGATTGCTGCGCATGTTGTGTTGCCCGTTTGCTTGTGGCGTGTGCTGGGCTGTTTTTTTTTGAGTGTTTTCTCCACAGCTTTCTTGACCAATTCCTTATTTGCTTTCCATGGTTTCTTTTGCTCCACTAATCTGTCAGTTCGCTCATGAAGGTCACCAAACAAAAGAGAGTTTGTTGGGACATTTGCTTGGAGTGCATGGTAACGGCCGTTGGCCTCGCCACGGTTGGCTTCTCCGAGCCGAGGTTTTCAAGGGAGAGGGTCAGTTTCTGCGACTGGCTGATGAGTTCAAGTTGATTGGGCTACCGGTGGCAGGAGATGTAAAGTTTAGCATTTCCACGTTTCCCGCGAAGAGTTGGACCATTCGCTGAAAGTTGTGGTCCTTTGATCGGTAAATTAATTATCATGCGAGTCCCTTCTAGCTTAAGATTGGGCCCAAGCCTTGCGTATGAGCGGGTTGCAATGTCTTCCCTTTCGGGACTCATGTTGACGAATCCGGCTGTTGACCTGCCCATGGTGGAGGAAGCCAGGTCCCCAATCACCGGATTGTCACCTGTTGCACACGCTGGCAGAACAATACGACTAGCACAGGGTTTGTAGTGTGTTCGAGAAAAGGCGACCCTGTCATGTTACTGGAAGCCTGTATCCCGCGTGATGGATTTGCAACATCACACATAAGATTATTCCAATGCATGGCATTGTGACTAATTATAAGGGTTTATTTAGTATGTGGCTTGATGCTTACTGAAATCATGCTGAACTGTTTGTTTAACCAATCGTTAAAGCGTTCTTTGCATGCGCTTCAAAAAGCTTATGCTGCTTGATGTCATATTTGTCAATTAGTTATTCATTTCAAGGTCTTGATGTCGGGGAGGGCTCAGGCATATGTATACAAATAATATAAATATTATATATATATATATTATATTCAACAGTCCGGTGTTTAAGACGCATGGATGCCTGGTTCTTCTCCGCAGTTTCGGCTCAGCGCATGGTCTCTCACTTTGAGGGAGTTTGCGCAAGCCAGGTGTGTGCTACCCACCGGAGGGTGGGTGGCTATCTCAAAAAGTTCGCTGGGGACACATCCTTTTGAGTGTACGCCCTGGAGCAACTCCGGGTCCTGCGGGAGGAATTCTTGGACCGTTTGGTGGGACTCCGGCGCTCCTGGGTTAAGCCGAGTGAAGCGAGCAAAAAGGAATAGCGGAGGAGCAAGGCCGACGGCCATCAAAACTGCCTGTCTTTTTTTTAATTTATGGCGGCGACGAAACCCCTTTAGGAAGCTGTGTGGCTCAGCAAACACAAGCGTTGCCGAAACTTGAGCTCGCGAGGCAAGGCTCACGTGGCTCAGATGCAAAAAAGTTTTAAATCGTGCTAAAGCGGACAGTGTTTAAAAAAGGTGACGCCAAGCGACCTTAAAGCTAGTATGATCCCAGGTGAAGGGCGTGTGCCAGTGATGTTTCAGTCGCGGTGTGGGAACGTGCTACAGTTAACTCTACTGGATCTTGAGCATCAGTATCAGGCTCTGCCTGGCACGGCGGGCAACCTGGGGTTCGGAGGCTCAGTAGTATCTCTTAATCTTGACAAACCTGGTCTTGGCATTGTTGCGTGTCTCACCCACCAGTGTAATCACGTTCCCCTTCACTGTGCATCCATGGCTCAGACAGTGCAGAAGGCGTTCGGTGAATTCCGTCTTGTCTGCGCGAAGCATCTTGCCAAGAGCAACCGAGCAGACGTGATCGAGGCCGTTGGGAGCAGCGGGCAGGCTTCGATCCTTCAGCCGGCGCAGCTGTTGTGGACAGCGGCGAAGACGCACAAGAAGTTCATGTTCCGCCCACTGATCCTTGACAACAAGGCCCGCGTGGCCGTTGTGGAGAGTCTGGCACCTGCGCAGCTTAAGGAATCGTGCTGCGATGTGGCAGCAGTGTCAGCAACTTCCTCAACCTTGGTGGAGGAGCTTGGCCTTCAGGCCACGAGACAATCTCCCACCGGTCCGGTGTTAGAGGAAGAGACAACGGTTGCGGCGACAATGCCGCCACTACTGCGACTTCCGACAGATGCGGAAGTTGACGCACATATCATGGCCAAAAATGAGAAGCAGGCGGGTGTTTTTCCACGTTTTTTTGAGTTCGCATGTTGCACCATGTTTGGCACGCCAGATGGGTGAATCATAGGCTCCCAGCTCAGCCCTGTCCTCAGCCACATTTGCGTGGCGCGTCACAAAGTTCTCTGGCGGAGAGTCTACGGTCAATGGTACTTCAACCGCTGCATCTTTCTGGAAAGGTGCGTGGACAACTGGTTCGTCATCTTTCCCACAAAGCCCTCGGGGCGTCGGCTTTTCCATTGTCCTTGAGCAGGTCGGCAGCTTGGGCTTCTACATCAACGTAAACGACTGCTCCATACACTACAAAGCCCCCACAAAGCTTTGGCAAATCAGAGGACCACACACTGCTGGCAGCCTCAGCCACCTTCTATCCAGCGCACACTCCAGGGCATCAAAATATTTGCATCAAGAAGCTCAGTGTCGGATCCCTTTTGAATTATCACTCCTTCGAACATCATGGGGGGGGCTCCCCCCCCACCCACCTGCTACTTTTTAGATTGTTTGCAGAGAAAGTGACCCCTATTTGACTCAACACTTCTTCAAACATCATGGTGGGGGCTGCCGCCTCCTCCCCCAACCCCCCCGCTACTTTTTAGGTTTCTTGCAGAAATTGCATCCCTATTTGAATCATCACTTTTTCGAGCGTCCAATTTCGCGAGAAAATGCTGTAAAATACGACATTTCAGGTAATCTATGTAATCCATGTATGTCTGTATGTATGCACTTCTTCGAACATCATAGGGGAAGCCACCCCCCGCCAATCGCTGCCTTTTGAATCTATCGCACCCGTTCTTGAATCATTGCAACCCTACTTGAATCATCACTTCTTCGAGCATCATGGGGGGGGCGGCCCCCCCCAACCCCCCCGCTACTTTTTAGACTTTTTGCAGATCTATTCGAATCATCACTTCTGCGAACATCATGGGGCGGGCTGCCGCCCCCCCCCCAACCCCCCCCCCCCGCTATTTTATATATACATATAAATATATATTTACAGGGATTGAAATGCCCTCCTATTTGAATCATCATTTGTTTGACCCCGTCAGCCCGCCAGCTACTTTTTTATTCTGTTACCCACGATTTGTTGGTGATGCTAGGGATGTTGGTCGGACATGCGGGGGATGTTGAAAACGATGCTGGGGATGTTGGCGGGCCCTGTCTCTCCTGCAATACACGTGCGGCCAGTTGGAGCCTACCTTGGCTCAGGCTGCGGCAGACATAAACAATCTGATCATCTTGCTATGGTTTGAGGCTTTGCAGCTTCTACAGAGCACCATGTTGCATTGCTGCGGGGTGCGGATTTATTTTGTGTTTCTTTTTTCCCGTTTTTGTTTTTGGATTTATATCGTATTTTACAGCATTTTCTCGCAAAATTGACGCATTTTACACTAAGTCTTATTATACACGCGCACACACATTATTGTGTCTATGCGTGCATACACTTTGCTACACAAGCCTGAAGACCCGGCATCTCACGTCATTTGTTTACTGACAAACACTTAGATAGCTGATGCGTGCTTTGCGTGTCAGGCAGTTGCTTGTGGCCTTCATTGAGCTGCCCATGGCAGGCAACGTTGAGGAAGATGGCCATAGATTGCGCCAAGGCGAGTGTCAGCATTGCGCGAGTTTGATGTTTTCTTGTTGTTTTTCATCGGAGCTAGGTTGGCGCATGAAACCAATACCAGAATTTCGAGCAGAACTTGTGAACGAGGCCTCAGATCGGAAGCGTTTGGGTTGCGTGCTGGCATGTCAATAATTGTTCAAGTCAAGGGCGTTGGAAAGCGTGCAGGGCAAGTTGCTACTACAACGGCACAAATTGACAGGAAATTGCTGCAGCTATTATGGTCAAGTCCTGAACCGTGGAATTTCACCTTGTACACCTAAAGATACCATGATCATCATTATGACCTTTTCCAGTTGTTTGTGTTTGTGTGCGTGGGTGCGCCAATATTATGTTCTTTGGCAAGTTGTTTTGGCCTTGCCGTCAATTTAATTGGTCAATCAACGGATGCGGCACAGTGCCAAGTGAAAAGGAAACCAAAAGACCTCAACCAATTTTGGTCCCAAAGGTTTGGGGGTCCCACGCTGCAGTCGGGCTATGTCCACAAGTTGGCCCAGATGTTCCGGGAGCACGACCCAGCAGCGGTGGCCCCAGGGAAGTTTAGAATCCATACCCTCCCGTTCACTATGGAACCCACCAGAACGTCAGGAAAGTTGTTCAAACACGCTTAGTCAAATTCCATGTTTGTGGCTGCAAACATATGTCAGAATTGTTTTCGGAGCATGAGTCGGGTAGGATTTATGCAAGACCAACGTTACGAAATAACCAATGACGTAAATGCCCCGTTTTTTTGCAGCAAAAAATCGGGTTCCCGCCCCCATGGCTCCTGAGTGTCAAGCATGAGGTGTTTTTGCTGCCTCCGAAAGAGGATGCTCGGGCGTCAGCATGGCGACACCGCTGGAGTTGGGGCTGACAGGGACATTGGGCAATTTTGAGTCAAGGGGAAAACACGAGTTGGCGTGAACTTTGTGCAAACGTGGGTTTACCAGTTTACTTAATTATACCTTCTTGTTGGCTCAATCCCTCCTGATGTATTTTACGGGTTCAATGTTTGCACTGGCATGCAGATGCATTTGTTGTTGTGCTTGTCGCTTGCACATGTTTGAACTGCCTCCCCCAAGTCCGAGGTCGGTCCTCATCCATCGCTGCACACTGCAGTCCAGGCAGAATCAGATCAACTTGTCATGCTTGGAATCTGTGCGGGCCTGGTCACTTTGGGTGAGGAAATCGGACCCTTGGATCGCCTTGTCAAAGATCTAAGCTTTCGGTGCCCTTTACAGAAAGCCCGGAGGCCAGCGGCTGTGCAGCAGCCATTGATTTGGTGGAGGAGGCCGGCGCTACAGGCTGCCATTTTGGTGAATGGGCTGGGTCCCGCGCGCAGCCTCCGCTCGTGCTTTCGTGCTTGTGCGACACTGTGTTTTTGCAATGTTGGGGTTCTGTATGTGTGTGTGTGTGTGGGTGGGTTGCTGTTTACGTGCTTGTTTGCGTACGGGATGTGTTTGTTTGCGCTGTGTGTGTGTTGTGTATTATCATTATTATTATTATTATTATTATTATTATTATTATTATTATTATTATTATTATCATTATTATTATTATAATTATTATTATTAAAGTGCTTGTTGTGCTTTGCTTTGCTTTGCTTTGCTTTCTTGCTTGTTGATTGTTTCATATTTTGTGTTTGTTTGTTTGTTTGTTTGCTTGCTTGCTTGCTTGTTTGTTTGTTTGTTGCTTCCAGAAGGTGGCTGTGTATGCCATGCATGCCTTGCTTGTTTTGGCCAGGCGTTTTCCGCACTGCTTTTCAAGCAGCTGCGCGCCATCACGAACGGCCAGGCTCGAGGGCAGATTCGAGGCGAAAGAAGCAGTTTCCTGTATAAGCATGGAGCATGCGTGACAGAAGGGTGTGTGCGTTTTGGAGGGCAACTGCCATTCTGGTTACAAAACATCATCCCCCGTAAGTTGCGGGAAGACGTGTTTCGAAGCAAGACACAGTCATGATGAACTCTGGTCTGCTGAATTCAGTGGCGCGGCCAATTGCTGGGCCTGCGATCCGGAACCAGCTGAATCGATATCCACAGCTGCAACTTGTAGGGCCGTGAGTTGGCCCGTCGTCCCAAAGGCAAGGATTGCTGTTGTACCTAAGAATGCGCAAGGGATCCAATCAAGTTCAGAGTGCCTACGCTACTGGGGCAACGTCTAAACGATTAAACATTAATTACTATTCAAAAGGTGATTTTATGGTAGGTGATGATACTACACCATCTGACTGCTCTATTAATAAATTCGCAGTAGCAGGTAAAGCATTATCAGTACCGGGTGTTATTAATACAGACACGGGTATTGAAACAAATGCCATTGATCCTACAGGTGATAATGATGCCACATATAGAAGAAATGGTATAGACTTTGTTTATTTAAGAAATAATCAAGTTTAACTAAATACTAGTGGAATATCTCTTAGCAGCCTTTGACTCATGGACCTCACAGGGCGTTTTTAAGCTGACAATTGCCGATACACATGACATCACCTTCAATGACGGTGGCAAGGCAATGGACGTGACGAAGACGCAGGCGTATAAGATTGTGGATGCACTTTGCAAGAAGCATGACTGCAAAGCGAAATTCTTCTTTGTCGTTCCGCAGTTTCAGTTTGATAAGTGGAAGACTGTGCAGACAGTGAAACAGCCAGAGATGGCTGAGAAGATTGAGCAATGGGTCGTGTGCTTTGAACAGAACCTGCGCGCTCGTGACCAAAATGAGGAAAGTCCGACAGCTCTGACAGTCCTTAGCCATGTGGAGAACTTGTGCATGTGTTCAAAGCTCAGAGCGAAAATTTGAACACAGGGGACAGCGGCTCATTACTCACGCAGTTGATTAGTGTTCAGGCTTTATTTGCTGGCACTGCGAAGGGAATCAGCAATTGGATGCTTAGCTCAACTGCTCCCTACAAAAGGGACACCCGATAGCAGTGCGCAACTTACAGGTCCATACGCATAACTATTTGCAGCAGACTTGCGACTTGTTAGCTCTGCTCCATTCCCGAAACAGTTGGACAAGCTCAATAACGAAAGTGGTGACAACGGTGGTCCTGCCGCTGATGGTGATGGTGATGATGGTAGTACTTATGCGCGTTTGTTTGGTCATCCCTCCAACGGAGCCACATTGATGGAGCGCCGCGACAACAACGACATGAAAGAATGGAACCATGGGCATTGAAGCAACTTGTTCACCCTTTGGTGCTCTCCTGCTTGAAGACAGTCGGCCAGTTGCCCAACTGGTTCTACGTGGTCCGAAGACTACTCTATATGAGCTTGCACAAACCTTTGCAACCAACTTTGAAGAAGCACGCCTCGCCCCCTCACTAGCCAGGTGGATGTGGAGGAGAATAACGTGCAGCAGATTCTCCAAGCTGGGGCAAATCTAAGCCGGCCCCACGGGAGCGACGGCCTGTTGCCCCTGCAGGACGCGCTGGATTTTTGCAGGGCCCGGCTAGGTTTGTCCCAACTTGTCTATCAACGACCTCTAGGTTTGTGTCATTTCCCTCAGAAGCCTTTGGTGAGTGTCTCATATAGCGTCGCACTGGCAGAACTTTGTGAAATACTCTCATATTTGGTCTCAGATATTGTCATAATTGTTTTTTATATATATATATATATTGGGTTCAAAAACCCAAGCCCATTGTTAAAAAAGCAACTCGTATTGTCCACCTAGGGATTGCTTCACCTCGGATGAGGAGCTCTGCAGCTTGTCCATGCAGGGCGAGCTCCAGCTCCGGCCGCTGGTGGCGCGGCGGGTGGCTCAGGCGGCGGCGCAGCTGGTGCAGGCGGCGCCGCTGGCGCTGATCTTAGCCTGGGGCGACCAGGAGACCGCGTACGTGTTCAAAACAATGTATCCAGGAGCCAACTATGCTGATTTTACGTGTTTAAGCAATTTAGACCCAAACATGCAATGTAAGCTGGCTGTGGGTCAAAAATAGGTACCCAAAAAAAAGTAATAACCCTGGAAAGTGGAAACATTGACTAAAACCTGCGGCCCCCTAGTGGTTTAATTTTGACCCACAGCCATGTGAGTTTTAATTTTATCCAGGAGCCAACCAACCATGCTGATTTTACATGTTTAAGCAAATTTGAACAGATATTCCCATTTTAGCGGTCTTTTGGCTTGGGAGGGTGCCCAAGCTTGGCTTCGCTAAGGGTGTCAGGGTGAAGCATAAATGAGAGTTGCTCCGACCAGGACCCCAAGCTGCCGCTGGAGGCGACGCGGCCACGTTCGAGATTTGTATTGACCCTGGCTGCCAGGGGGCCAATACAGTGGTTGAAAGGGTGGATTTTGTAAAAAGCGGTGTGGAACAGTTAATCGAGCTGCCATGGCAGGCGCTGCTTGAAATGGCCCCCGCCCAACAGTGGAACCAGTTAATGTTGACTCCGTATTAATAATCCCCCCCCCCCTATTAGTCCGGTCCGGGTGACCCCCCCCCCAATACTAAACAATTCATATCTCAGAAAATACCCCCCAAATAAAAAATGCAAAACAACCCCCCCCCCCCAATTAAACCGGTCCGTCCCCCAGATGGCTGCTTCTATCGCATTTTCTCCACTGCTTCTTGAGCTCACTACAATGCAATGTAAACTGTTTTTTGGTGCTAGCTGATGCTGCTGATGTTGAATCGAGTCATGCTGCTTGCCATGCTTTCTTTGAATGGTGTGCTGAAAAGGTGCTTTGGCTCAAATGGGCTCATGCTTTCTTCTGATACCTTTCTCTTCATGCTGCTGCCTTGCTTAGGGCTCTCATCTCCACCTCCTACTCTCATCTTGAAGCTTGGTGGATACTTTTGGGCCTGCCCAAACCACAAAACAAAAAGTGTTCTGAGATGGTCGATTTCTTATTAAATTCTTTACTAAACAAATCAAGTTTAGAAGGTTTCAAAGAGCACCCCACATTGGCCCCTAACACCCCCAATTAATAATCCCCCCTAATTAGTGCGGTCCATCGGCCCCACCCCCCAAAGGAAGCTCCAGCAATACTAAATCAAATGGAAACTCAATTCCAGATCTCAATTGGAAGCTCCAGCAATACTAAATCAAAGGGAACTCAATTCCAGATCTCAAATGGAAGCTCCAGCAATACTAAATCAAAGGGAAACTCAATTCCAGATCTGAAAAGGAAGCTCCAGCAATACTAAATCAAAGGGAAACTCAATTCCAGATCTCAAAAGGAAGCTCCAGCAATACTAAATCAAATGGAAACTCAATTCCAGATCTCAAAAGGAAGCTCCAGCAATACTAAATCAAATGGAAACTCAACTCCAGATTATTTCGGGGTGGTGGCAAAAAACCTTCCAAAAATTTGCCCCCCAAAACCTTCCCAACCTTCGAGGGGGGGGGGGTACATACTAATACGGGGTCAACATTATTGGGGGTCTCTTTAGTGGGACAGTTCGGCTAAATTTAGTATTGCCCAAGACTTACTTGCCCATTCCCGGTACTTACTTTTGTACTGCCAAAACTTAGTTTAGTGTGATGTGGTTGGTTGATTGTGTTTTGTTTAATTGGGGGAGAGGGGGGAAACAAATAGTCATGAAAGCGACACTTTAAACAGTCACAGGATTCTGTAGGAAAACAACATGTTATAATAAATAGTCACCGCAGGATTTAAAGCGGCCCCAACATTAATGGCAACTAAAGGCCCACGGGGTCAACAAAGGCAGTACCTAGAATAACAACTCGAGGATAAGTTAAATTGTTTAGTATTGCTGGAGCTTCCTGTTGAGATTTTGGTGAGGGGGGCAAGGCAACAAGACTTCATTCCGGGGCCCCGTGAAGTAAAGTTGAATTGGGGGCCTGAAGGACTACCCGCTTTGTGGGTTTGCGGGCAGTTTTTAGAAATGAGACATGTAAGAAAACATGGTTGCTTTTTTGGATACAGGGGAGCAGGCTCAAATCATGTTTTGGTGTATGGGCTTAGTTGTTTTGTTTCGCTCGCTTGCAGCAAGATTCTCTAGTGTTCGACAGCGCTCGCCTGTAGCGGTGGATGCTGGGAATGAGTCTGATGATTGACACTTCCTATTTGGATGCAGTCAAAAACACTTCAGGTCATAAAAGGGCAAATATTGTTTCGAATCCCGTTTGATCCTTTGTGTACTTGGATTATGTCCAGGACTAACCGGCTCTCAGTGGGCCGCAAGCAAAGGTCAGACACACCGTCCATACAATGTGGTTTGTGTGTTTCAGGCACACTTACACACGGCTCGAAGGAACAGTGCTTTTGGCTATTTGGTGATTTGTCAAAAGTGGGTTCTTTCAAGTGTAACGTCGAATCCACCACTCGCCTTCAACTTATTGGTTTGATGGTTCCTTGCGCAGTGTACGCACTTATGACTGATTCTTTCTGGGTAGACAGCATGACCTTCATCAAGCGGATGCCGCAACCTCCCATTTACGATCATGTATGTTCGTGCCCTCAAAGGTGTTCCCCAATCAAAACGGTAGATGAAGGTTAGTGGGCGCAGCCCTTCCATTTGTTCACAGCTTAGGAGGGTGAAGTCCTTTCATACCAGGTTTTGATTGACTCCAGATTAGCCTTCGAGTTCAGCCAAGACTCTTGCCCCATGTCCTCATCGCTACTTGTTGCAGGCGGCGGCTCTGAATCGGGACTTTGGGGAGGAGCCAGGGGGGACGTGGTACGACATCTTTTCACCCAACGAAGGGGGGGTGTTTTTGCCCACGTCTTTTCCAATCATCAGGCCGGCAGGTCAGATTCTGAGAATTCTGACTTTGTTTCTGACAGAAATTGGAGACTAGCTTTGCCCAGTGTCCTTGTTGGCCCAGCCCGTTTGGCTGGTGTATCCAACACGGCCATCACTGTGGAGCAATGTCAATGCTTGGCTTGAGTCGACCTGTGGCGCGATTGAAGAGCGGAACTTGTCCAAATCAAAGGAACCTGCTTGCGTTTGGCTTTCCAGTTGTGGTTTGCCCAGCGCTGTTCGCACCCTGCTGTGCCTCTCATCCGAACATGTCAGTGAGTCAATGGATGAAGCATCACCATGTGAATTTGAAGATAAAGCAAAGAGTAGCAAAGGTTCGTGTCTCCTTTCGTTCTTCAACAATGTGTCAGCATGTTTGCCAGAGGATTCTTTCAGCGGCGCGCACGAGCCTTTGCGTAAATCGCGCGGGTCGGTTTGCATCCTGAGCTGGTGGGCCACCGACTTCCAATGGCTAGCGTGGAAGCGGAGCTCAATTGACAGTTCTCCTGGTATCCGTGTTGCGTTTGTGTGTTTGTGTGTGGAAGCGTGCAAACGGGTGGGTGGGATAATGGTGGGATTGACATAGAGGCCTAGCATGATTCTTTGCCGGCATGGAAGCAAATCAGAAGAATACCTAGCTATTCCACGCTTCACACATCACAAGCTGCATATTTTTACTGGTTCAAATGCTTCGAGTCCTTCGAGTCACTTGAGCCACAATCAAAACCCAGGTAGACGAAGGTTAGTAAGGGACCATCCCAACCATAATAGCTGCGGCCGCCTTAGTTCTTGAAGCATGGTGGACCATTTTAGTACCGGGGTTTGAGCAAGTGACTCACTTCGAGTTCAGGAGCTGGTGCCGGTGCTGAGCGCTGCCGTTGGGCGCCTGCTGCTGCAGCGCCCCGCGCTTTGCGCGGCCCCGCTGCTGCGGAAGGCCCAGGAGGCCGCGTTGGCACGGTGTCCGGAGAGCTTGGCGCCGCGGCGGGGAACGTGGGGGGGGGGGGGAGTTGGTCTGGTTTTGGGATGCTTTGACGTGTTCTGCAAGGGTCGGATGATGTTCGCAAGTGAATTGGTTTCCTTAAAGCCATCCAAGGGGATTCGGGCGGGTTCAGCGCGTTTTTGGGCCGATTCTGAGTGAGGCAGGGGGAATTGTAGGGCAAGTCGTGGTGGCGTTCGGATGGGCTATTGCCGGCCGGACGCTAAGTGGGACATCGTACAAGCTGTATCTGATTGCAGGGTGGCCAGTGTACCGACTTGCTTGCAATGTTGTACTGGGTCATAGGAACCTGCAGAAGCACAAGGACTGGCAAAGCTTGGATGTACCAACCTGGGCTGCTTGCACAATAAGGTGTCATTGAAGAGGCCAGTTTTCCAGCGGAAGGTGGAACCACCTCCACTTCATTTGAAAGTGAAACCACACGTGCAAATCCACGGTTGGCTTTTGGCATCAGTAGCTTTGCTGGAATGCGGAGGGGGGGGGGGTCGGCAGAGCTGAAGTTTGGAAGAACAAAGAAGCGGGCCGCATTTGCAAAGTGTTCGTAAAATGGACACCCATTGGGAGCATAGTCACCGCGCACGATTGAGGGAGGTATTCCGTGTCCCTTCCAATGCAAGAACCAGCAGAATCTGAGTTTCAAGACTTGGGCCTGGACGTGTATTCAAGATTTTGTTGGTTGCCCTAGCCCGGCTGAACACCCCCAAAGCCAAAAACCCCCAAGCCCGTTCTCCCACTCCCAGGCGGTGCAGCAGCTGGCCTCCCTGATCTGCTCCGCGGCGCCGTGTCTGGACGGCGTCTCGGCCGCGACCGCCGCGACCCGGAAGCGCGCCATCTGGGAGCCCAACTGCGCCTTTGAGAGCTGGAGCCAACGGGAGAAGCGCCTCAGGCGCCCGGAACCCATGTGGCTGGCGGTCAAAACCGGTTTGGTACCATGGGGTAGGTGCACCCATGTCAGAACCTATTTTTGTTGGATTGGGATGTTCGTTGGGGGTACGGGATTTTGACCCATGGCCATGTGGGCTGTCGTTTGAACCAACAAAGCAAACCATTGGGGAATGACGGGAAACGTGGGTCACTGATTCATCCATGGGCTAGAGGGAGCCAATAGGAAGCTGAAAAATCATTTTGGGGTCAGAGGTCTCCCTAGATAGTCTCTGACTACGTACTTGCTAGCATTGGTTTGGTATTGGAGTAGTATTGCTTATTACTGTTTTAGCACTTGAATCGCATTTGTTTCGTCTTTGCTTAGTAACTTAGTACTTTGGGATAACTTGGCCAAAAGCAAGCAGTTTCTTGTATTGAGGGGAACTGAACAATGCTGAAAAGCTGTCTTTGCCCTTAGTACCCTTGGGATTTCCGTTTGGGTGACCCCCTTTTAGACAACCCCATAGCACACCGGCAAGAGAAGACAACCCCTTATGGGCCTTGCGGTTCACAGACGTAGGCTAAGGTGGAGCATGTAGGGGCGGCTAGCCTTGAGAGCCCGGAAAGGCAACATGGAGCCATGCCAACTGCCTCCCACCACTCCCTTCTTGCCCAAAGAACAGACCGGCCTTCGAACTCCGCGCTGTCCCAAACTGGGTTCGTCCAGAGGATCCTGGAGCCTTTGATCGCGGAGGTGGGCAAGGCGCCGGTTTGTTGGAGTCGTGGCGTGGTTCGATTCACAGCACACCAAACAGCTCATCTCGCCATGATTGCACCAATCAGCTTGGCCGAAGACAGTCCGGCTACACGAAGTTTAGTTGGGTTGGTTCAGGATTCAGGATGCTCAGCAGCTGTTTGGTTCAGAGTTGGCGAAAGCTGCTTCTCAACAAAACAAGCAAGCAAAGGTCAGTACAAGTCAGTACAAGAGGGAGGATCGGAGAGAAGAGGCAAGTGGCACTTTGTGACTTTCCAATTAGAAAGCATCATCTTGTGTTTGGTGGTCTTCTCGCCGGTCGTGCAAGTCCCCCTTTGATCATGGTCCGATCGTCCAACGCGGGTCTGAAGTTGTGACATTGATTCTTGTTTTGATGCCATCTCGACACCTTGATTTCTAGAATGGTTGGGTAATTTGAATGACGCGGTTGGCATCCAAACTATCAAGCACTATCCCCTCGAATTCCCCACGTGACTGTGGCACTATGGTGAAACTTGGTATTTGTTTGCACGATATTGACCTTGCATCGTGCCAGCCTATGGCTTTTCAGAGGTTTCACAGTCGACAAGATTGCGCTTCTGTGGAAGCCCTGTTCCAAAACCTCTTTGTTCGTTCCACTAACATCAATGCCAAGAAGGCTAACAGCAGAACGCGCTCCCTTCTCATTCCACTGGGCCACATACGGTTGATGTGTAAATTGTGCAAGGTGCAAGTTGAGGTAGGTAGACAGAACACGAGTTTGTGAGCCAAATTGATTCAGGTCGTTGGTTCATGGCGCTTGCCGATCGGGACTGCCAGGCGGACGTGCGGGTGGAGCGGGCGGAAGCGATGGCGAAGCTGGGGGAGATGGAACAGCTGCTGGAGCTGAAGAGGCGTCAGCACGGGGAGCAGATCGCACAGCTCCAGCTGCAGCTGGACAAGGCGCAATGAGAATGGGAGGATGGGAAGGGCGGGATGAAGGCAGGATTGAGGCTACAGTTGTTGGTTATGTTCAAGACACTTGATAAGTAGGTTGTAACTACGAATGTGAGGACACTAACCTCAGCCCTTACACACGGTCTACTGACTGAGTGGGTTGAACATCCAAGTAGCCCCCTACGGGGAAGGAGGTCGAGGAGCGCAATTTGACGCGGACTTGAGTAGAGCAAAAGGGGTCCAAGCGAGATGAGGGGGCGCAGCAGCCGGGGATGCTACAATATACACTATTGAGGAGTTGTGAAGCTGAAGCTGGTCAAGCAGAGTCCGCCGCGTCAGCGTCGTGCAGATTTCAACATCATGGAGATGCAAGCCAGAATGTATGAGGTAAAGATTGTTGGTCCCATCATCCCAAATCATGATGGATCCGGCTCGCTGCTTTGCTGGCATCCCAACTTATGACCCTGCAAGATGCCATCATGGATCGGGGCCTTGCATATCCAACTTCCAAACTTCCCGTGTTTCAACAAAAGCAAGTCCCTTGATGGAGCAATCTTGTTTCGTGGGTTTAAGCCTCGAGTGTCCGAGCAAGGGTTTCGGGGGTTCAACCCAAATTTGGGTCCTCTGATTTAGCTCTTGGGTTCGAATTTCCAGCGGATGTTTCAAAGCTTCTCACTCAGACAGATGTCTCCCTGAAGATTGGATTCCTCTCTTGTCCGTGGGTCCGCTTTCGTTAGGCCCAGCGGGCCGCAGAAGAGGCCAGCGCGCGTGCGCGGGTGGCACAGATGGCAGCAGCACAGGCAGCAGGCGCGGGTGGCGAGCACCTCAACTTGTTGGTCAAGAAGGAAGGCATCAGAGAAGAAGCTCACGAGGGTTGGAAGAGGAAGGAGAAGGAGGGAGTGGAAAAGGAAAGATGTAAGCAAGACAGGATCACACATACGACACAGAGAGAGAGAGAGAGAGAGGCGCCTAGCTCCTATTTAAGTTGACGCACAGCATTCTAAATCCAGGTTTAACAAGCGGCGCTTGGTGACTTGGTGCCTTGTAAAGCTTGGTGCGGCCTCCTGAAGCGAGTTCCGAGAATGCCGAATGACCAAGTCAAGTTGCCACTCTTGAAGCCGCAACCCCTCTTTGACAGTACAAAACAGCTAGTACCAAATGCGAGCCGTGGCCGGGCAAGGAGGCACCACTGGCGACAGCTTCGGCGGAGCCGGCGACAGCTTCGGCGGCCTCGGCGGAGAGGCGGCGCAAGCGGCTGGGGACTCGCCGGGTGAGCTGCTGCGCAATATCCGGCAGCAGAGAGGCGGGCGCCCTGAAGCATCCACACACGTCCCAAAGTTGGACCGCTTTGAGATGTCTTGCCAGGAACATCCGGGAACTTTCGACCCCACACAATCTGCTTCATCCATCTTCCGATTTGAAAGATCGCTGGCAGATATAGAGGGAAAGCTGCTTGGATGTGCTGTAAGGCTGTCCAAAGCAGCCAAGACCACTTCCTCAAATCATCCAAATGCCCAACCCCACTAAACACTCCTCACAGGATATAGCTATTTGCCATGTGGTATTGGTTTTGTTGCAAGGAGTTATGGTTCGGATCTCCTCACAGCGACACACCAGCGACCACAGCGGCTGTGCTTCAAACAACAAGCATTGTCGCTCAGCATAGCCCCAACCGACGTAATTTATCTCAGGGGACATCGCAGCATAAGGATTCCTTTGAGCAAATGTCCAGAACCTTTTGGGTGCTTCCGGTTGAGCTTCAGTCCGTGTCTTTCTTTTTGAAAGCTCGCCCTTTGTTGGGTGCTTAACGGCAAGTCAAACCACAAAGGAACGAGCACTCCTCGCGGGTTCTCCGCTCGCTAGTTCTCAGCAAGGAATCAGGGAATGACCCCTATAAACTATAAACCCTTCCGTTGTAATTTTCCTCCAAGGAAATCCCTGGATTTCAGCACCCCACATTCCCGACCTATCGCCCCAGCAAGTCAGGCCATGGGGCTCAGCCGAATCGGAGCCCTCGCAGCCGAACCGTCGGAGGTTTGGACCTGGACTACGACTCGGTGCCCGCGAAGGTGCGGCAGAGCGCCCTGGCGCTGCAGCGCTCCGTGGGGGCCGCGGTGGAGCGCTTGGCGGTGGACCTGCGCCCAGATCGCAGGGACGCGGAGCTGGGTGGTGGGTAGAGGACCTCAAACGCGGGTGGGGGGAGCAAAGGGTTGATAGCTGAAGTTTCTTGGCTTTGGAAACCGAAAGGAAAGAGAGTCTGGCAGGTAGGGGGGATTCAACGCCTCGGGCGCAGCAGCCTGCGTTTAGTTTGAAGTCAAATAAATGGCGAACTTGTTGAGCGGGCTGTGCCCCAAGAACGCTGCACCAGCAAGTCTCTTCCTAACCAACTATTTGGAGTATGGAGCTCACATTCTTGAGTGTTGCTCGTCGGTCATTTGTAAACCGAGCACATTAGC